TTATAGTATAATTAATGATTTTTTTCAATTTTATCCCTATTAATTTAATAAAAATTAATTAATTTAAGTTTGAACTAACAGTTCCTTGAAACATGTCCCTCTTCCTCTCCCTCTCCATCTCTCTCTTTTAACTTTTTATTTCATATGCAGTCCATCCCCTCCCTTCTTCTCTTTCTCTCAACTTTTAATAAGGATAAATATGAAAAAAAATTGGTTAATTTAATGTATTTCTTAATTTGCGGGTTTGTAATGCAGGTGACTTATAATAAGGAACAGAGTGGTATATTTTAATTATTAAAACGTTCTACTTGTTATGTCGTTTAATTGTACTATTCACAGATTATAAAATGTGAGTATTTTTTTAGATTCCATATAAAACATGATTTTGAGAAATTAAAAAAAATACATTCCCTGAAAATTTGTTATATGCTTTAGCGGGAACAAATAACATTCCGGCTTATGGAAAAAAATGACTAGACTTAGAGCGAGCGATATATCTATTTGGACATTTACCTCAGGTGACGAAGGGTTCTCGGCAACTTGGGTGGCAGCGGTGACAATAGTTATTCCGGTGAAACGTTGACGGTGGCGGAGATGAGTTTTTCCCCCCCAAATAAATGTGTTAATTTTGTTCAGAAAAAATTTGTTCCATGCATCATTTTTCTGAATAGGATGACAAGTTTTCAGGGGGAAAAATGACTTTCCCTGAAGCCCTGATTAATTAAGTAGAAATTTTTTTTAGAAAATGTGTAAAATTTATTTAAAAAGAATTGTTCATTGCATAAGGAAAAACGTTATGAGCAATTGGAGCTAATTACTGATCATTGAAGAAAATAAAGACAACTAAAGCTAATTACAGAAATTTTTCTTCACACTTCGCAGAAATTTTGCTCAAGATACGTTTCTTTTGAAGCTCAATGAAGACTCTTGAGAAAAGAAAATTAAAAGTTCTTCAAAATTTTGGAAGAAATACGGGATAGTCGAAACTAATTGCGTCAAATTTTCTTGCTTGTTTATTTAATGACCTTGAAGAAACGTTTAATACATTTCATGAAATTAAAAGTTCAGTAAATCGAACCAACCGACCCCTAATTAAGGAGAAGAAAAGAACTTTATATTTTTTTTTACCAGGAAAAGATCTTTATATAAGAAGATTTTATACAGATAATATATATATTTATATAGTTCAGTATTATTAATATCATGAAAATAGCAACAACTAGAAGAAGTCTTCAATAGAAACGGGAATGGAGAAATTTTTTTGATGAGTTTGATTTTAAAAAAATTACAAAAATAAAGCTATAGAATTTCAATAAAAAGAAGATATAAAAGTAAAGAGTAATAAAAATTAATTAAAGACGTTTAAGTATTTAACTTCACTTGTACAATTTTTTCAAATCGAACTCATTAAAATTTTTTTCTTGCTTCCATTTTCCTCATTTCAAGCAGATCAATCATGAGTTGCTGAGAGGAAAACTAAGGTTAGGGGGTCATTTACAAACACATGTACCATAAAGACAAACGGGGAGACCAATACAACTACCCCCATTAGGTCTACAACAATATGGAACACAGTCTGAGGAATCACGACAGATTGTAGCTACTGTTATGCCTCCTCCTCCGTCTCTTGCTGCGCTTGAACACCAACCTGCAACATAATTTTTGTTAATTAATTTTATTTCACCTAATTTCAGAGCCATGCAAAACACATATAGATATTTTGATCATCTATATATTTGCTACTATTCACACTTATATTCTCCTTCCTGTCCTAATTAAATATACACGGTAACCTCTAAAAGTAATGTTCGGTTCAAAATATGTAAGTCATTTAGTGTAGTGTTAATTAGTAGCTTTTTTCCAACTCCACCCTCGCCAATAATGTGGTTTAGAAACTCTGACATTAATGTAGTTGATAAGGGTAAAACCGAAAATAATAATCGACATATTTGGAAAAGATCGAAGAATGAACTAAATTTTTTTTTATAGACACACGGATTAATTAGTTAGGACTAGTGGGAGTAGTGTGTGTATTCGTGTATTAATTAATCAAATTAAACGAAAGATTAAAAGAAGTGTAATAGATAAAATAGTGACTTACCTCCTGATGTTGCGAGAAGCAAGAAAACAAAAAAGAAAGTGAAATTAATGGTTGAAGCTTTTGCCATTATTTGCCAGTAGGGGTTTGAAGAATTGTATACTGTGAATGAATTGATGTGAGCTGGAGGGCTTAATTTATATTCCTCTGATTATATTTATAAGTCACTTCCAACATGTTTCACACAGATCAAGAAAAATTTGAAACTTTATTAACTCTTATTTAAAATTCAACAATTTTTCAACCTTATCCCTATTTAATTCACATTATATCTCATATAAACAAATTTAATACAATAATAAATGAAGGAGGAAATTATATATTCATACAAAAAATTTCTCTCAATGCTCTAGAAATAAAACCAAAAAATACCTTCTCTCTTTATCTTATAAATAGGACCAGAAGAGTAATACAATACCATAGTTTTTTTTTATAAGAATTTATAGTATTACCATATTTGGAAATCATTGACCATTTGAATTTATGACAATATATTTCAATGAACTAAATGTTTTGGACATTAATACAGTGAATTATTTTATATACATGCACATTGATTGGGGATTACTTATATGGTAAATCCTTAATTGTATTTTCTGGGCTTGGGCCGCCGGTGGTAACCAAATATATATTTTAGTGATCACTTATCACATCGTTTAGTTACACTATTCACAAATTATAAAATGAGTATTTTTTTAAATTTAATGTAAAACATGATTTTGAGAATAAAAAATGCATTCCCTGATAAATTCTTTTGACTGTATCTATCTTCTAATTCGTCGAAGACCCACCGCTGGAGAACGAAAGCCAGTCGTCCACAAGAGAAACACTGAAACACTCGCCGACAATTTTTTTTTGGCTTATAAGCTTTTTTGAAAAAATAATTTAGACCAAGTCCAAAATATGTGAAATTTAAAATAAGGTTAATGCTTTTTAGCAGTCTTATTTGCGCACCTCCACTATTGAAAATGTATTAAGGATTTAAGGAGGATTTGAAATTCTTGTCACTCTGCTGCTAAAAAGTGCTTATTATCTTCCTTGGAAATTCATATATTTCATATTTGAACTAAATTATATATTATTGGTAAGTGAAAATAAGACTATTAAAAAAATTATAAGGTAACTTTGAAATTTGTCAACTCTACTACTAAAAAAGCACCAACTTCATTTATAATTTTATTTATTTTAGACACGGACTAAATTATTGTTCATACTTGAAGATAAAACTACTGAAAAGTCTGATTTCACTTTAAATAAACTGTAAATGGGAACTGGAAATCAAACTACTCTAAGAAATTTATCGTACGCTTATGATATAATCGAATACTTAAAATGAAATATAAATTTCTAAATAAAAAATAGTTATATATAATGATTATCATTTCGTTGTCAAAAGGGTGTGTAGTTGTAATTATGTGCTAATTAAGTCCCTTCTGACTGTCTATATATTTGTGAGTCATGGCAGATTGTAAAATGGTTATGGATCAATACTAATGTTTTGCATCGCCTTTGCATCCATGGGCCTGCTCGATTCACACACACACACACACTATTTTTTTGGGCCAAAAAAGTTATCTTATTAATATAATTAGAATCATAACAATCACTAATAGCCAAGAGGCCAAAGAAACACTCAAAACAAAACCCATCAGTACAAACTAACTCACACCTCATCTTCTTTTTGGTGAGAAAATTTTTTTTAAAAAAAGATTGGACTCACTCATGATTCAAAGGCAGGGCAACTAACCCTTAATCCTAGCCCTAATACTGTAGTTTAAACTGAGAGGTATTTACACCCGTTGTTTACAGGCTGAAGCCTTGGTTTCGAAGATGTCTCCCCCAGTATCGCGACATGTTTCAGGATCAAACCTACTCCCTTAGTGAGCATATCTAATCCCTTCACCCGCTGAACCACGTAGGAGGGGTAACTCACACCTCACCTTTAGAAGAACTAAGCAAAGTCTGAAAAAGAAGAAAACAAAGAAAACCACTAGACAAAACCATTAACAAACAAGCAAAAAACAACAGCCTATTAACCAATGCCAACTTTGTTGAAGTCCGTGCAAGCCTCTTTCGTGGGTTCCTTTCCATCATCAGAGTCACGAGCCAAAACCACACTAAAAGAGGATGGGGCACAAGTCAGCCATTCATGCTGATGCATCCTCCTTACTGCACATGCTGCCAAAAAATCTGCAGCCTTAATACACACACTTGAATATTCCAAAAACGCTTTTCTGTAATGTCTCTCCAATTCCCTCCTCTTTGTTAATACTAATAAATGGAGAACCGTCAAAATTTGATTTGATAAAAGCCTCCGATTGAAATGAGGAGATATAACGTGCAACTAGAGGACATAGCTGAGCAGTGTAGAGAAACTAAAATGTAAACGTACATATATTCCATGCAAAACCCGGCACTTTTTTTATTGCTTTCACATATCTTTCTATTAGAGTGGAGGCAATTTTATTTATTCAAGACCCAATCGGAAACTAAACATTGACTCCTCTTTGAGTAGAAATTAGAATATTGATTAACCATGTTGCAATGGTAAAACCCAACAATATTATGATGGCGCAGCTAAAGCATCCCAAGAAAGAAGAATAATTGGGTACTAAACATGGCCACCTCTCTTAACGGGGATTCAAATATAGATCCGCAGTGCTGTCACATACAACCCAACATTATTATGATGATATGAGTGGCGCAGCTGAAGCATCTCAAGAAATATAGCTGATGATAATGTAATATTTATTAACATGGTAAACAAACACGTGAAAGTCGTGGTCCACCAAGTGCCAAGTGCAACAACTATATGTCACACTCACATTATTTATTACACCATCATTACATTTTTTTATTATTCTTAATATTACCGATCTCCGGTTCTAGAGGTTCGAACAGTTCAGACCACCATAGAGAGATCAGAGTTGGAGCTTTCCTTAACCTTGTAAAACTTAAAAACCAGAGGGTTTTTGTCATCAGTGACAACCAAACGCCGTCGTTCTGCACTATCAACCTTGACTCCGATGTCTCCACAGTGATCTTTTCCTTGCTCACAAAACACGATCTTATAATAATGCTTTTCTGCATCATAAGTCTTAATATAGAACTGTCCAGGAACAGAAGCAGCACTAAATTCTTGTGCACCACCAAGCATCACAGGTTGTCCAAGAGGGAGAGAATTTACGACGACCCAGTTTGGTGAGTCAGTACAAACATTTGGTGCTAAATAAGCGAACGCTAAGTTCACAGGATATGTCGTTTTGATGAAAGTTACTTTGAGATAAGTTGATATGGTTACGCCCCATCCATTGGTGAACAAAGCTGAAACCACAGCCAGGGAGCAGAAATTTGAATCTCCATGCCTAATGGCGGAAGCTATAATGCCTCCACCTCCAATGGGAGTGGCAGGTGACAAGTAGTATTTGCCACCGTTTCTCAAAATATGGCCGTCCGAGTCGACCACCGCCTCGGCTGAGATGGTGGTGGCGAAGGCCGAGAGAAGGAGGAAGAAGAGGAAGGAAAGGAATGCAGATAGCTTCATCATTGTGTTGGTTGGCTGGCAGGTGTGTGAGTGGGTTTGGTTATATATGGAAGAGAAGTAGGGTTTTGTCTTGGGTGTGAGTAAATGAGAACTCAGAGCGTGCATTTATAGGGGTAATATGGAGTGAGGTGAAGCTTGAAGATGCCTGTAAATGGCTTTTTTTTTTTTTTTTTGGTTTTAAGGCTTCAGAGAAACGTGAAACACTTCAGCTGGATAAGGATGCCACCTACACCATAAAGGGACAACGATCATATGAGGTTCAAAATATTTCTTTCTTCTTTAACGTATTAGCAACAATATATGTGACCACTTTATAATTACCAAAAATTAAAAAAAAAAAAAAAAGCAGGGCCACTTTATTGGTGAAGGATCCATGCTGGTTTAAGTCTCAAGAGCTTCTTGCCATATCCTCCCATGCAAGGAGTTCCAGTTCACAGAATGAACTTCTGTAAATCTGAATTAACTTTTGCAGAAAGCTCTTTTAACTTGCGTTTATATATATATATATATATATATATAGATAGATAGATAGATAGATAGATATATATATATATATAAAACTGACTTTTCTTGTGTACTTTCTGTTTTGGAAACTAACCTGAAGCTAATTAAATATTAATTAAGGCGAAGGTTTGTTTTCTGAAAGTCCTTTTATAAGCTTATTACAAAAATGGAATCCAAACACGCACTTATAATCAAGATTAAAGTCAGATTGCTGGAAGCAAAGAAGGAGAATTAAAAAAAAGGATCAATATCAAGAATTAAAATGCCTCTCAAGAGTTTAAAATGGTTTTTTTTTTTTTTTGCGGAAAATTACTTATAAATTTCATGTCGGCATGTCGCGTCTCTTTCGGTCCCTTTCATTATTAAATGGACTGAATACAACTAGTAGTACAAATTTATGAAAAGAAGACAAAACGTTTTAAATTCACCTGGCTTGATATGGGAAAGAGTAATAAAAATTTGAGAAATTTAGGGGAAAATTTTGATTGAAAATTTTATTGATAAGAAATACCTAAATAGGGTACTGATATTGTGGATACAAAATATGTAGAGTACCAATAATACTTTTCGATAAGGACTCCTCTCTAATTTTTCTATCACCTTTTAATTAAATTCATGGGAAACTCACTCTTTCCCCTATAAAAAATTAATCAAACACCATTCTCCTCTACGAGCGACATCAATCAAACAGAGAAAATAAAAAACAGTTTAGAAACAATAATCTAGCATAATCAGCTAGAAACTGCGAAGCACAAGCAATTGAATGCGAGAAAATCTCAATAATTTAGCATAATCAACAAACCAAAAACAATCTGAAAAAATCGATGACCACATCGGAAATCACGAAGCACAAGCAATCGCAAATTTGAAATGATGAGAAACAATCTATAAAAAAGCCGGAATGATTAAGAAGAAGAAGTTGAGAATTCAATTCCATGTACAACCTCTTGTTCTTAATATAAGATCCCATTTGACTTTTATTTTGGTCTTAAATATAATACTACAATCTATTTTATTTCTCATATTTATCTTTTTTTTTTCTAAGATAGTCCTAATGATAGCTCTAACCACTATACTTGATTAACAAAGATACTTAGGAAAGACAATACTTATTTATTACAAATAACTAACTTAACTAGTTTTCTTAATTTACTCAGATTAGTTAACTAGCTTTTATATTAAGGATCAGAAATAATATTTTGATGGGTATTGAATTGAAAAATTTTCCAATATTTTTTCACTTTACCAATTCCTGTAAGCATTATTGGCCTTCTGGTCCACTGTGATCAAAAGAGTGAAAGTGAAGAAGAAGGAGGAGTTGCTGAGAAAAAGTTATGGCGGCTAACAATATGTAGGGATAGGTCTCTCTCTCTGAGCTTTAGAGGAAGTGAGATCTAAAGCCATGGCGAATGAAGCGTAGATGGAAAAAGATAGGGGCATAAATGAGTGTTCCAAGTTGTGAAGGTGTGTAGAGGGAATGGTTCCGTCTGGTTCGAATGGTTAGTTGATGAGAATGAGAAATGATAAGTTCTACGGCCATGAAGATTATATTGTGGTGTGACAAATCACAACGAATAATAAACATATCTGTTAACAAAATTGAGTCTAATTAAAGAGATTAATCCGTCATAACATGGCAAACTAAAAATTGAATCTTTGCTAGAAAATGTGTCCATATTTAGCCCCCAACAGTGTTTTGAATAGGATTGTCCTAATAGAAAGATACTTATACTTGTATAAAAACAAAAAAAGACAAAACATCTCCACCCTCTCCCTTGTTAGCTATTTATATTGACACGTTTTTTTGGGTATGAATTTGTATTTACACTTTTGTGATGTGAAGTCAAATCCGAGATCAACCAAAGTTCTATCAAACGTCATTGTATTGTCTGCTATAAGCGGCCCAATAATGGCCCACGGATCAGAGACCCAATCATGCTGATGGATCTGTCGCACGGCAAGTAACAGGCCCGGCTCAGGTGAACCATAAGTCACAGATAATTCTTGCTTTTGCCTCTTTAATTAAAAAAACAGAAAGTTGCCAATAGGTTGGGTCTAGCATAAGGGGTTAATTCCTCACAACACGACGAACCAAGATTCAAATCCTCTCTGAGATAGGTGTCTATATTTAGTGTCTGAAAGTGTCTCGAATAGGATTGCTTCCAATATAAGGATACTTATACTTTAAGAAAAAAAAAAACTGGAAGTTGGTTTAGCAAGCAAAGATCTTTGTAATTGTACGTACAATAGCCATGTTTTTCTTGCCTAATTCATTTATTTAATTTTCGGCCATGGGTTGGGAAAGCATAATTTGACTCTGGCTCGATCCCTCCTGACTTGAGTAATTAATTATTTTAAGAAAGAGGGTATTTTTAAATATAATGATGAAATAAAGAATTTAGATTTTTGTTCAAAAGTAGTATTTTCAAAAACATACACTGATTATCTTTAAAAATATGAATGAAACCCTTCTCACGCTGATTGTTGGGTTCAGTTGCAAACTCACTTCAGCTCCATCCGTGATCATGAAAGTTTTGAGAATTATTCATGGTCTTCGCTTATATTGGTCAAGAGTCTGTCAAAAGATTGCTCGATTCACTGATTGCATAGAGACTACTCCTTCATATTTAATATAAGACCTATTTAACTAATTTGATTAGATTAAAGAAGTTACGTAAGTTAGTTAATTATAAAAAATGTGACATATTTTTCCTAAAATACTATAATCATCTTTCTTAATATCTTCTCTCCCTCTTCTACTTGATTATGGTTGATGGAGTATCTATAGGGTAATTTAGAGAAAATTGATAAATATATAAATGGGTTTTATATTTAGAACCAAAACCAACTCAACAATTGGATGCTATAATATTTATTTTCTGTTGCTCTTCGCTTACATTTCCTTGAATTACAGTATTTATTTCTGAAAAAAGAAAAATCTCCCGGCAGAAAAAACTGAGTTGGGATCCCCCCTCACACATTGACATTAGTTAACCGGCCTTTATTTGAACTCCGAACAGTGCACCCCTCTTTACCGCGGAAACTCAAACCAGAGTCCTCTTGCTTAGCATCTCTTGGCTGCAGACGTCGCACGACTTCCCCTGAGCGTGTCATTCCCAATCTAATCTCCGCCTCCCCTTAGGTTTGCGCTCCGTCTCTTGTATTAAAATTCGTTAATATTTCTCTTACTGGGATATTTAACATCAAAGCCCTGATTTTGCAGGCTGATGGAAGGAAACGAGAACTTGCGTGATTACGAAGTTGGCACTCTGCCCACTGTTCTCTACATACCCAACTTCATCACAGATAATGAAGTGAATTTTCTTCTCAATAATGTAGCTTTCTTATTCTCATTCTCACTCTTCTGATGATTCTTCCTTCTGATTCTTCTCTCAAGCCCTCCGTTTTATTATTATTTTTTTTAGTTTTTTAATTTGTTGTTCTTTCCAGGTATCCGGAGCTCCCCCGTCAAAGTGGAAGTCATTAAAGAATAGAAGGCTGCAGAATTGGGGTATGTTTACTGTCGTATGCTACATATGCTTTCCTTTCAATGCAGAATATATGTAAGTATAGATTCAGGAGTGACCATAGATAGTCTAGTGTGTAGGATAAACACCATAGTACCTAAGTGTGCACAAACAAATTAGACCCATTCGCGTTCCTAGATGTCTTTTCTCAGATGTATCAATAACAGTCCAACCATCAAACATAACATGCGAGACACAATTAAATTACCAGGTATGTATACACACACAGGTAAGGGATTGTTTGGCAAAATCATTCCTTTGTCCTGGACCCAAAGCTTACCATTTGGCAATTCCAGTATATGGACTCAAGGGATTGAAATTTATTGGAACTCATAAAGTATGGGCTGTCCCTAAGAAGAATTATTTTGTCCTTCAAAAATTCAGGAATGACTGAATTCTCAAATTTATTCAAGGCTGGCATAGATTGAGGCTTAGTACTTTCATTTGTAAATTATGTCATTTTGCTTTTCTGACCTATGATTGTTGGCAGGTGGTGTGGTGCATGAGAAGGGGCTTCTACCCCAAGCTTGTAAGTCAGAAATACCTGCTTTTTTGATCTTAATAGGCAATATGTGTGCTATATGATAGTCATTCTTGCCTGTTTTGGTGTGTGTTTCCAAACACTGACAACTAAGCACTTATCTTGGACCTGTCATTTATTGAAGTAGAAACTTTTTAAGCCTTTTGACCCGGGTCAACTTTTGCGTTCTTAATAGGAGAGTTTTGTGTGCCTGCGATAGTAATATTTTTTCAGTTTACTTTGTTGTTTTCCTCCAGTTGTTGTTTGAGTTACTAGAACGATGTTTTATGATGTGAATCTTATCATTGCTGTGCTATCTTTATAAATGTTAGACAATGTTGGGTCTGTACCTTTTCTACATTAGTGGGCAAAATGTTGTGTTGTTGAACTGTGAAATGCAACAAGTTTATGTTAATTCGCATGACCTTTTTTTGTTGGGTTCTTGAAATTTTCTTAATCACTCAAGGAGAGGAAGAAATGACTATACATGTTCAACTTCCTATAGGTTGTTTTGCTGCAAGCAATATTAGCTATGCTACTGTTTTTAAATGTCCAGCTGATATCACAGGTTCTGTCTCTCTCTTGCAGTGCCTCCATGGTTAACAAACCTCACCCAAAAAATATATGAACAATCAGGACTATTCCCATCAGCCATCAATCATGTTCTCATCAATGAATATCTACCTAACCAAGGCATAATGGTTTGTGCTGAGCCTCAACCCCTTCTTTTAGCCATTCATTTGTAACACCCCCCCCCCCCCCCCCCCAAAAAAAAGTATTGAATTATACATTGCAAGTCTGTGTTAAAAGTTTCATTGATAATTTTTTGACTTCAATTTTCGTTTTGAAGATTCTTGCACCCATTTGTCTAACAACTTCCCATCTTTTTGTCTCTTATCTGATTGTGTCATTTTATCTACAGTTTTCTGGTTTGTTATCAGTTTACCCCCTTAAGCTCTTATCCTTCTGGACTTATTTTGTTTAGTTCTTGGCTTCATATATTCTAGTTTAGATTCTTTAATTTGACACGCGACACTTGCTCGTTAGTCTGTAACTAAATATTAGCGTTTAAAATATTGAAATATGGGTTGTGCAGCAATAAGATACATAACTTTAAATCCTGATATTTTCAAACAGGAACCCTAGATAAAATAATCTTGAAACAAACTTACTGAAATTATGCACCTCAAATCACTCAAATTGCATAAAAGAGCTTTTCAGTCCAATATTCTCCACTGGGTTAAAAGTAACAAGATTTCTTAGGTGTGGAAACAAACATTATACGCATGAGGCTCAAGTTGAGAACCAGTGGAAGCATACCACTTGCAATTGAAAGAGTTTGAGGATCTAAGTCCTAGAGGGTGATAATTGGGTATTTTCCAGTTTAGAATTAGAACGTTAAGGGGGATGTTTTCTACTGATCGAAAATGGAATGAGGGTTTTGCTTTTTCCCCTTTCTTTTGGTATCAGCAAGAAGCTCTGATCTGCATTGTCATGATTGTTGCTAGAACAAAACGCCTTTTGATATAAAGAGGAAAGGTGGATTGAATGCTGGATTTGTGCATATTTTACCACTAGGCAGCATTATTTGTTCTATGATCCCTTGCGTATTTGTCAATTGTCCTTTACACTGTTGCTTTTCTACAGCCGCACCAGGATGGGCCTGCCTATTTCCCTGTTGTAGCAATTCTTTCCCTGGATCTCCTGCTGTCATGGACTTCACTCCCCATTCCAGATTGGAACTTGATTCACATGACGCTATTGATACTAATAATGATGATGGAACTATGCAGATTGAGAAAAGTAAATGGCTTGATGATCACCACCCATTTTCTGTCCTGTTGATGCCTCGCAGTCTTCTGATATTCAAGGATCAAGCATATTCAGGTTGTTATCAAATTCTCTAATATCCCCGTTTTGCAATTTCCTGTTAAGTACTTTTTCTTTCAAAATGTTAGTAACATCACTGGGGCCATGCAGATTACTTGCATGGTATAAAAGATACTGAAGTACATTGCTATGATGGGGTAAGCTTAAAGTTCGTAAACTTTGATACTTGAAAAGCAATTTTTTGACTGTTGTTTTATTCTGAAAATCTTAGGGTCATTTTTGCTTTGCAATTCCTCTTTTTCAGGCTGTAAATGAAGCTCAGGCTTTGAAACACAATGAATTAGATCAATCCCTTCCAAGCTCAGAGGAAGCAGTGGAAACAATGGAAAGAAAGGAGTATAAGAATGTACATAGGACGTCCAGTAGAATTTCACTGACTTGTAGGTTGGTACCAAAAGTTCACAAAAATTTGTTTAGATTTTGAAGCAACCACCTTCCGCGTGAGAATATGCCATAGTAATGTCACTTTGTACAGCGTCTATATCTTACTTTGGTAACATGTGAACCACCCCCCCCCCCAAAAACTATTTTATAATTTTCTCAGGTGTACTATTTCATAATTTTTAATTATAAAAGACATCTGTCTGCATCGTCTTAAATTTTCACGTTCAAATACGTGCAATTAAAACCTAGGAAAAAGGGAAAAAATCACATGGCTTAAATGTTTTAAGAAATCATTTAGATTTTTTCTCCAAGTGCTAGCTCTTTCAACAAAAGAATTAACAAAGAGAGTTGTTGTTTTTAAATTTAAAAACTCAAAAAGGTATTATCAAATTTAAATAGAAAGCATTTGTTTGCACATAGATCGAGACATTTTTTAAAATAAAATTCGGTAGATCATAATTTGTAAAAGTGGTCTCTATATAAAAAATAATGCAACTTATTATATATATTATTTTATATTTTGATTGAGGTAATGAGATATGAAAATGGAAACTTGATGGATTGTGTGTAATCTAAGCTGCCAAAATTTTTTTTTAATGAATTTAAGACCAATTTAAAAAATACTTTGATTGACGTGATATTATTCGTTTATAAATGAGAAATAGACTAGTAATTTGGGCAAAGAATTATAAATAATTAATTTCAAAATTTTTATAATCTATATAATCCGATATATAAGTAACACTTTTTTTTTAATATGAAATTTTGACATACTTTTACCCCGTTAAATACGTTATTGCACATTTACTTATCACATGTTTTTTTCTTATTTCATAAATTATTACACATTCTTTATTACTAGTCTTTGTTTCCATAATTAAGAATATATTTGAAAAAATTCATATTTCTTACATATTTATTATTTTTAACTAACAATTTATCTATGTAATTTGGTTTTTTTTTTTGGACAAATAATTTAGTTAGTTTAGTATATGTAATTAGTTGGCAAAAAAGTTTAATATATGTAATTAATTTAATTAATCGTAACTTATACTACATCTTGTTCTTAATATAAGACCTTGTTTGACTTTTATTTTTATCCTAAATATAAGACCTCAATATAGTTTGTCTCTCATATTTATTTTTTTTTCAAAGTATTCGTTGTAATAATGATAGTTTTAACCAATACACTTGATTAGCATACATATTTTTAAAAAAATAAAACTTATTTATTATAAATAACTAACTTAAATAAATTTTTAATTTATTTAAATTAATTAACTAGTTTTTATATTAACTAATCAGAATTATAATAGTTTGTTTAATACGGACTCCCAAAGCGGTCTAGTTGCTGTCATGACTCATAAAAGGAAAACTAAAACCCCGCATTTCTTCTCCAGTCCAATTATATATACTTGTAGTCTTGTACTTTCTGCTCCAGCCACGGCTCCCACCGATCCCGCGCCCAGATTCATAATTCGTCAGCCGCTGCTCTCTCTCCACTTCCTTGTTTCTTCGGTTGTCGTTCTCAGTTTCTTCTTAAAATATCAAATTCAGCAGTTGATTTCGGATTTGTTGCATCAGATATCCTCCTCATATATCCGCTGCTCAACGTCACTGCTATTCTGAAGCTTCGTTTGCTTATCGGATCTATTGTGGGTACTCTCTCTCTCCCCCCCCTCCCTCTCCCTCTTCACTCTTCTTGTGTACTCTTGGCTTTGGGGTGTGACTGATTTGTTTGGCTCTGGTTACTCATTTTTTGTTTGCACCATCCCTTTACTTCGTTTGACTGGTAGTCATTGGCATTTGGAATGATTTTACCCGGGGTTTCGCGAAAAAAAATATTATTTGGTTAACACTGTTGGCAGCTTTTATTATCTAAATGCCTTGGACTAGTTTTCTCATTCCGTTTGGATTGAGCAGAAGAAAGCAAATGGAACAGAAAGGAGTCCGAGAATTTGACATCTTTCTTAGCGATAATTATTTGGAATTGAACATTTTCTCTGTAAATATTACTCCCCTCTCCTCAAAATTTCTCTCCATTTTCAAATTTCCAATTTTTTTATTCCTTTGTTTTTGAAGAATAGTATGTACTGTAACTTTGTTTTTTCAAAGGGGACGAATTGGTGCAATTGTAAGGAACTAATTAAACTACAAAGAGTTTGTACTTTTGAAAATTTTGAAGCATGATTAATTGATAAGAGCTATAGGGAGCAAATGATGTTGTTAGCAGAGTAAGGGAAGGGGAGAACTTGGAATCTGTTGGTATGCCCAAAGTGGTGTAACTGGAAAGAACCAAAAAGTTCTTCATGCATATTTGGGATTTTTATTCTAAAGACGTGAGTTATTATCATCATAGAGTTTTAAAAGAGAATTCAAATTTTGTGAAATGTGTAAATGAAAAGTAGTGCATATTGCTCAATGGGACTGTACAGGAACAGGATGATTAGAAATCTGTTTACTAAAATATATGCTGAGTGAATAGTTTCATATCTTTTCTAAATCTTTCATGCATATACCTTGGTTGTATTTTCTATTTTATAGAGGTTTGCATTCATCGTCTATGGGTTCTTATTCTTGTTTTCTACAAATTTAAAAGAACCAATACTTAGTCATCTTTTTGCTGCTGAGTTCCCTCCCTCTCTATTTTCATATGTTAGAAAAATCTACAACGTGCTTCCATCTAGTCTAGATTTATTTTTCTAAAATGTGAGATTGAAAATGTTAATATAGTCTATTGGTTATAAATATTTTGGCTTTAATACGTGTTTTTTTCTTGCCCTTAAAAATACTCCACTTAATGTTGACGCCTCCTTTGTAGGCAAATTATGCTTTGAGGGGATGAAGAAAGTCCCATATGTGGATACTGAGGTGCGAATTGCGAATATCCAATTTATGGTTTGAGTTTCTTCAGTGAAATTTCTTCCCTGTACTTTATCCAGTGATTTTTCGTGATGTCTGCCACGAGAAAGTGGTCTGGTTGCTGTTTAACTATTTTAGTGTTCTTTTCTAAAAATCAATTTCAGAGTTTCAGAGGGATGTCTATGGCCTCTATTAAGCATAGTTAATAAATTTAATAATTTATTCAAGCCATACTCTTCCCTTGGTAAAGTGTTTTGAAGTTAGTTTATGTTAAGTAGCTTTTAAATTGTTGCATGCATATCTGCAAGGTATGTGTGATTGTTAAGTCAACCATGGTTAAATAGCGTAACTGCTTTTTGTGGTTTCCCTGTTTTGCTTGATTCTAAACTTTCAATCTGAGAGGGTGTCACCCTTTTCTTCTTGACAACATGTTATCGTGGTCTAATGCTTCCATGATTACAATTCCCATCAAGGTTGTAATTAATCAGGAATTATCTTGTTAATCTGCATTTGTGCTACTGACTGAGTTCATTCCTTTTGCTGTTTAATAGAAGCCTGAACAAACTAGCTTCAAGGTTGTATTTGACAAGTTGATGAAGGAACTTCGGGAACCTGTAGACTTTGAACTCCCAGATTGGTTTAATAAGTGGAAGCCAATGTCCTACACCTCTATAAAACGCAGTATCTTTTATTATGGCAAACTTGTTCTACTTCTCCTATCTGGTTCAGTATCTTGCATCTGCTTTTAGTTTTCCTGTTTGGACTTATAGCTATTACAACTTATTTTGGGGGGCTGTTTCTATATGATGATTCAGGTGACATCTGATTCTATAATTGATCATATTTTTCTTCTCTGTTCTGAAGTGTTTATTTGCTTTCACATGCTTTATCTGTCCTTCTATCTTTCTTTATCATCGCTGGTCCTTATGAATTAAGATATATATCGCACAAAGAAGGTTAGGAAACGACTTGATGATGATGATGGCATTTTCTGTTCCTGTACTCCCTCCGCTGGCTCTTCTAGTGTATGTGGTAAAGACTGCCTCTGCGGGTAAGTGTTTTCTTATTCAACATTTGTTTTTGTTCCTTTATTTATCTTGGCAAACTAAACATATCTATCATCATTTTTGGCATTTTGACGCAATGCATTGTATGATTTTGACAACCACTAACAGCTTTACCTTGTATGCTTATTTTATTGTTTCTGGATATTTATATGCAGCTTTGATGTGTGTATATCATGTTGACTGTTCCCGCAGGATGCTGTTTTCTACTTGCTCTTCAGGCTGTAAATGTGGGAGCTCCTGCCTGAACAAACCATTCCAGAATCGACCTCTGAAGAAGATGAAACTGGTCGAGGTGTTGGCTTAGGGCTTTTTTCTTTTAAATTTATTTTTTTATGATGTAAATATCACACTATTTTCTCTGCTTGTTTTTTTAAGTAAATTTTAGCTTCCTCCTATGAAAGTTTGAGGTTTATGATTTATGTCGCCTTGATATTTATTCTTATAGTGGCCTTGTTAGTTTCTTCCAAGATCATGTTTCGATTTGTAGGCATGAAAACTTCATTTAGTTGATGATTGCTTGTTTGTACTTGCTACTGCATTTTGTTTGGCATGACCATCTACTTAGGGCACTCATTCTGGATTTGTATTCCCATCCTAATGCATATATTTGCTATTAATTAAGACAACCAAAGGTAGTCTTCCCCTCTTCCCTTTCTAACTTTTTAAGTGTAAGGAATCTTTGGTCTCTTAAATTCTGTCAACTATATTATTAAAAATATAAAATTTAATGATAAATGAAAAATGTAAAATTGAATTTGAAATGTGTTATGTTTAAAATTGCACTTTCTTTCTGAAGTTACCTCATTATGCTCTGCCACTTCTGCTCCTTCCCAATCTTTCCACCTCCTTTTTCCCAATGCAGAACTGCTTCTATCTGCTAATTTTCGAATAGGTTGTTTGAAGCAATGTAGTCACTGCCATTTCTCACATGTTTCTGCTTGCATACTGTTTACTGAGTGTTATGGTATTGCTTCTAGACAGAGAAATGTGGTTCGGGAATTGTGGCGGATGAGGATATTGAACAAGGGGAGTTTGTGATAGAATATGTAGGAGAAGGTGATCAACGATCCATAATTATTTTCATATTTGCAAGTAAATATTTGTATGTGTTCTTTTTAAAATTATTAATAGATTAATAGATGTTGCCTCTTTCTAGCAGTCATTGATGACAAAGAATGTGAACATAGGCTTTGGAATATGAAACATCGAGGGGAGACAAACTTCTACTTATGTGAAATCAATCGAGATATGGTGATTGATGCAACATTCAAGGGAAACAAATCAAGATATATCAACCATAGTTGCTGCCCCAACACTGAGATGCAGAAATGGTTGAATACTAATTCTTTTTCTCACATGGTCGTGCAATTAGGTATTTCAAATCTTACATAGTATTTTTTATATGCTTCATCTTATGTCTTCCTTTTTCTTTCTTTTTTAAGGATAATTGATGGTGAAACAAGAATTGGCATATTCGCAACTCGTGACATTAAAAAGGGGGAACACCTGACATATGATTACCAGTATGAGCAATTGCTTCATTCTTTAGTTGCATTTTTACAGTTGAGGATTGCCTCAGATAATTTGATGGCTTCGTATGATAATTGGATGCTAAATATATAGCAGGTTTGTTCAGTTTGGTGCAGATCAGGATTGTCATTGTGGTGCTGTTACATGCAGGCGTAAGCTGGGTGTTCGACCACCCAAGCCCAAAACGGCTTCTGATGCTGCATTAAAATTAGTTGCATATCAGGTGATTTCATCTTCTCCAAAATAACAGTTATATCTAGAAATTTATCCAACTCTTTCAGTCATGTCAAACTAAACTTTGTTTCAGCTTCCCTATCAAGGAATTTTTTTTCAGGAGCTAATTCTTTTAAATTGGGCTATAAACTTAAATGACAAGTGACATAAACAAATTTTCAGTACTTTAATAATTATTATTATTATTTATTTTCAATTAGACTTGTGATCAAAGACATGCCTTGTTTATTTTGCCTTGTAAATATGGGTCCTCACCATGATTTTTTTTCCCCAGTTATTGGTGAGGGAAGAAACTCTTCTGTCTCTAAGCCCATGTAGGGCAATCCTGATAAGGATTCTTGTGAACAGAAAAAATTGCTATTCCTTTCCCTTCATCAATGCATGAAGCACCTTGAGACGGTAACATGGTCATGTTTTGATATTATCTTCTTGCCATATCAATCTGGGCCTAGATTTTTTCAAACATAGGGAAAATGGGGAAAACAATATTTAAGTGGGGGACCGTGCAACCTTTAAGCAGTGACACACTGCCCCAAAGGGATCACAGGCTTAACAGGAAATATATTTTTTTTTTCCGAATGAATAACAGGATGTATATTACTTGAAAAGACACAATAATAAATGTTACTCTAGTGAAGATGTCAAGTGCAGTGGTACAGGGTGGATTGTAACTCAAGGTTTTGGCATGAATATGTTAAAATGTATTGGGATTCTGCACACAAGGGGAAAAAAGGGGGGGGGGGAAGGTATCTAGATTTTAGAATGATTCACAAGTAATGAAACTGTTGTTTACATTCCAAAGGCGCTACTCAATGATTTTTTTTATTGGTTTTACTATTTGCAATATGCTATAATATTTAGATCTGTCTTACGACTTATGGACTAATAGCGGAATTTTTGTATGGGACAGGTTTATCAAAATGGAGGCTTGCGTGCAGGTATTTTTTTTCTTTTGAAAAGAAATCTGTTATGTGCTACTTGATTTTTTGTTTTATAGAAACCATGATTTGTATCTTTAAGTCATTATCTCCTTCAGGATCATCTTTACATGTCACTAAACACCCATATTTTCTATTGTGCTTGGCATGTTAGGAAGTTCTCACGTTATTGGCCAACAGAAGTGTTCTCACAATTGCATTGGTCAAGTTGTTAGGATAAATGAGAGGTAGCTTCTAAGTTGTTTAACTTTGAACTGTGATATCCTGTTCGAATGCATATGATTCATTTCTTCAATAAGTACTCTTCATATACTTTTGCCTAAATGATTGGATTGTGGTGTTTTTCATTGACATGATGTATTGATGTTCCAGGTTTGGGATTATTAGGCGGTTTGATAAATATTCAAAAAAGCACTTGGTAAGAGATTCCATGGCTGGGTCTTCAATAATTAAAATTAGCTTTAGGATCAAATTTTTATGCATTTGTTTTTGCAGATCATGTTTGAGGATGGCACTGCTGGTTTTCATGACATGTCAGAAGAAGACTGGGAGCTTGTGAGACTGTGAGGTAAGAATAACAACTATAATTAAATGAGCAAATGTACAATTTTATGACTTTGGAAAGTTAACATATTCTAAATATATTGCTCAGTTCCAATTGACATCCCCCTACCCGGGTTTTTTTTTTTTGGGGGGGGGGGTGGCGGAAAAGTTGGCTTGCTCTTGCATGTGCTGATTATGTGCAACTTTTTCTTCATATCAGTGTTTTAGGTTGCTATTTTGTAATTGTTGTTGCATGGGACAGAAAGGATTGCTTATGGAGTCTGTGAGGAAGTTGTGATGTTATGGTTTTTGGGCTTTGGGTGGAGTAGGGCAGCAGACACACGTTACTCTTAGGATGGGTAGGTTTTGACAATTCTGATAAAGATAGGTTTTGATGGATGAGGGAAGAATCTGAGCAATTAGCTTAGTTGCCATTAGTTACTACTTCACCTCCAGCATTTTCCGCCATTTCTAATAGGGAAGACCGGTAAAATGGGTTTTGACTTAATAGTCATAGCTGTATGTTGTGTACGCTGCTTTTGGTGGTTAATGTTAACTGTTTGGTTTGGCAGCTGTTGCTTCATATATTGTAGAATGATGCTGCTTAAATCATTTTGGGCACCTCAATTTATACAAAATTTAAGCTGGTGGATGTGAAATAATTAAGCCAAAAGCATGAAGCAGTGAGCGATACCTTATAATTCGTTACTAGAAAATTTAATCCAGAAGTCATAACTTGTAAATGTAATCCCATTCTCAACATATTAAATTGTCATGCTTATATGTTGCAAGAAATTTGATTTGTTATTGAGTAGTGAAAAGTATTCATCCTTCTACCCAAAAAATAAAAATAAAAATTGATGCGTTATTGAGTATTAAAAAGTATTCATCCTTCTACCAAAAAAAAAATAAAAGTATCCATCCTTCTGTGAAAGTTTTGATCATTTGGTTGTAAAATTGTTTTCCTCCCTCTCTTGATTCATCATCATTCGATTTTTTTCTTTTTTAACTAGGCACCATAGTCAGTCTCTCTGTTAAATGTCATTTGTGTTGGTTTCCGCTTCTACCAAGCATGAAAAGTAGTCATTTCATATAGATGTCGTCATCATATTTTTATTGGGAACTTAAAAAGGGTGGGAAATAAAATTGCTGTGCTCCTGCTTTGGTGTATAGGTGGAGAGGTCAAAATTGTGGTCATCTTTTTTATTGCATGTGGATAGTTCTTTTGGAGGCTCTGGTTAACATAATATGAAGCAGAACAGACCATTATAACCCAGCTGATTACAGGTATTAATAATTTTATTTTCCATTGACAACTGTATTATATGAGGGAAAAGATATTGCTGCTTAAAGTGCCAGAAATGATGTCTGTACGAAACTTGATTTCTGTTGTAAGAATAGGATTAACTTTGCAACTTTACCTGTGAATTTGTCCAATGGCTGTAATGAATGCAAACGTTTTTCGTGCTATTTTGATGGTAAGTGATCTAAGATACTACCTCTGGTTTTTAATATAAGAGTTAGGTGACTAATTTGAGTAGATTAAAAAAATTAATTACGTTAGTTATTTGTAATAAATAGGTATTGTCTTTCCTAAAATATCTTTATTAATCAAGTGTATTGGTTAGAATTACCATTATTACAAGGATTATGTTGGAAAATAAATAAATAAATATAAGAGACAAAATGAATTGGAGTCTTTTATTTAGGATCAAAATAAAAGTCAAACGAATTCTTATATTAAAGAATTAAGATAGTATAATCCATGTGAGTAGAAAAGCTTTGCATTGGCATGCATCTTGCTAACCTATCCACACCCTTCAAACAATCCCCCCCCCGGTGCACGGCCCGGTGGGGACCACAAACGCACACAATGAGAAAAAAAATCCATAACCTTCGTTGATAGACCACATATAATATCTCTTCTATTGCAGCTTTCTAGTCTTAATGATGCAAGTATGAACTGAATTTGCTTTCTCTCTGGCTAACTGCTAGTACAGTGGGTTTTGGTAGGTGGCCACTGGTAAGCTTGTTCTTGAAGCTAATCCCCCTGTCAAGTTACACCCAACCTGGCTACTTACTCTGGCTTCCTTCCGATACTAAGTAGCTGCGTAGTTGTTATGGGATGTGCCGTTATGTTGTATAATCATGACTTCGGTTATGTGAAGGCGAGAGACTAGCTAGGTAAAAGACGATATCATATGGTAAATTCTGGTAATTTGTTGACTCTGCACGCCTGCTTGTGTCTCTGTTCTTGATGGCCGCCTCCTCAATTTTGGAGCTCAAAACCACTCTTTGACCAATGCAAATATTAGAATGCAGCACCCCCAACTCCTTTTCTTGCTCTCTAGAATGGATGGTTTCTTTTTCATATCCCCCATTAATGCAGTTGAGCTTTCAAAAATAGAATGGTAGTGTTTGTGGTGAATTCAGAATTCCTTTGTGTCATCTGATCTCTAAGCTCGGAGGAACATAGTCAAACGGCAATGCACGTGAGCGAGCTGATTGCAAGCATAAACAGGATGGTGAAAAGGGTTGGGCCTGTGAACATATCAAATCCAAACCACACTACTTGAAACCCCAACTACTCAGGGATTCGTTGTTGTTTTTTTTTTTTGTGTCTTTTGGGTAACGAGATAGCATTGGCAACTCGTGGGGTTCTTTATCCGGTAAATATAAGTAAAGCCTGCAAATAATAAAGTTTTGTTGAATTATTTTCCCACAAAAAATGGAATTTGATTTAAAGTTTGAGGTTTTCGTTCATGCATGCCCGATTAAAATCTTAATATCAAAATTTTTCTCAAGAAAGAAAATCTCGTGGTTCTCTGGGAGCTATAAAGCCGGGCGACGACCAAATGGTGTGGCCAAAAGAAATAAACTAAAATCTCGCTCCTTGAACTTTTCTGTTCATTTTCTCGGAACCATTTTTCATCTAGTTGTATGTATAAATATTTTGGAAAGTGATACTCCCGTTATACAGCAGACCACGACGACGACGGATCATAGCATCCAAACGCAAACGGCACGTCATAATCAAAACCGACAATTCCTCCATTCACTTTCTCGCTCTGCATCTCCTCGTTCCGGTCGTCGCCGATAAGTTCCGTCGATCGTCCCCCTCCATTTCTCATTTCCACCGCTGATCTAGTACCTAGTAGCTTCCGTGCATTTACAGTGAGCCGTGTAAGACACGCCAGTTTCCACTATTATGGTCCTGATTGGAGGGAAGCCATTGAAGCGGATGAAGACGAGAGTCACGGCTGATTTCTACGACTTCCTCACTTTTCCGTCGCCGTCACTCGTCGTGGCAGGTGAGTTCTCTCCGGCGGACCCTTCCGGACGAACGTGCGCTCGTTCCTTTCGAAGCACGCCCTGCTTCCACCGCCGTCAGCACTGTTTTCTCACCTGCTGACGTGGCAGATCTTTTGCCGAGTCGGAGACCAGACAGACGGACCGGACTCGACGCCGTCGGTGGTCTGTCTTGACGTCGTGGAAGAGGATGTGGCCAGATCCAGATCAGTCTACTGCGATCAGTGTCGAGTTGTTGGTGAGTTGACTCGCCAGTAGGTGACCAATTCTCTTTCCATGCCATTAGATCGCTTTGGTTTCATCGTTTTCGAGTTTCTCCCGGTAAAGTACTTTCTAAAAATATTTTTCATGAGTAGAAATAAATTTTTCACGTATTTATTTCGGAAGTGTTTATATATGGTTTTAGAATTAATTTTATAATATATAAAATAAATATGTAGAGAATTTGTCTCAATTTATTGAAAAATATTTTTGAAAAGTATTTTTATGAAAATCCAAATATCTTTTTTGTATACCATAAAATTATTTTTAAAATTATAGTTTGTTTTTCATTTAAATACTTTTAAATCTAAGAGTCTAGGATTAAATGGTTGATAAAGTTCCCGGGTTCTGTGCTAGTTATGTGAGATGAACTTTAATTTTTTAGATATTTTCTCCAAAATAAATAAATGAAAACTAATAAAACAGTCAACATATTTCAAAATACTTTTTTGGGTACAAGAGATGGCTTAGCCCAAATTAAAATTAACACGGAGATCAAACCCCAGAGTGTCTTTGTTCACAAGGCCCATCAAATCAACAAGGCAAACATTAAAATAAGCAAAGGTAGCAATTATTTTAGGTTCATAGCAACTCATGCTTGAAGAGTAACACTACAAAATTTTGCTAATCAAGAAGGATGGGTAAAAGAATTCCCCACAAGTTTTGCGTAAGAACAATCCCTCAAAACATGAAGGATGCTTTCAGCTTCCTCAAAACAGTAAGAACAAGTTGGTGAGCACTGTGACCATCTATTCCTCCAAAGATTTGTAGGAAGCCTCCCATAAAAGATTCTCCATATAAAGACATCAATTCTTTCAACTCCTCTCCATTTCAAATGAGTTTGAAACTCGGATTGTAAAGACATGTCAGGTTCTCTTTAATCATAAAATGAGCACTTTTGAGGCCAAATAAGCCATAAATTGAAGCTTTCCAGGCTAAAAAATCCTCCCCTGCAGACTGAAATGGAGGCAGAACACTAGACAACCTGTTTAAAACTTCTAAAGTAACCACTACTGTTAATTTCTGAAAATTCCAAGAATTATGGATTACCCAATCTACAACTACACTTCCTTCTTCTTCACCTGTCAGCATCCTCAAACAACAATCTTTAATCTTCTTGTCAGGAAACAGCCACAGTTCATTGAAAAAATTTAATAGATTCACCATTCTTGAGTTGCCAAAAAGAACCTCTACCTATAACTTCTTTTTGCTCACAAATGAACTTCTATAAACCAAAGTCTCCAGGACAGGAAGTAAGGAGATTCCCCTCATTTTGGAACATGTACTTGCTGCTAAGATTGTCCGCCCAGAGCGATTTTTCTTCTATTAGCAGTTTCCAAGCCAGCTTTGTTCCACAAGCTTCATTGACTGAAGACAATCTTTTAAAACCTGGCCCGCCATAGGATTTTGGCAGTCTAATATACTGCCAACTAATGGGATGATATCGTTGAACATCTTGATTATGCTCACGTATGAAATTCCTTTGTAGTTTTTGCACCTCATCACAAATCTTCTTAGGTATTCTAGAAACTTGCATTAGGTATAAAGGGATAGAGCTCAAAACAGATTTTGCCAAATTTATTTTGCCTTCCGTTGATAAACAGTTAGCCTTCCAATTATCAAGCTTCATTCTCACACGGTCTACTATGTATTGAAACTTCTCAGTTGCTTTTCTTTGTCTTGTAAGAGGGAATCCTAAATACTTCCCTATTTTCAAGGATGTTTTCATCTAGGTGATCCGCCCTATGTTCTTTTTCATAGTAGCAGGAGTTTTAGGGGAAAAGAACAAAGAGGATTTACTTCTATTAACACGTTCTCCTAAAGCCATAGTGAGAGCATCTAGAGCCTTCATCATGCACAAAACTTGAGTTTTAGTAGCCAAACCAAATAAGAGAAGGTCATCTGCAAACACTAAGTGAGAAATAGAGGGGCCATTCTTTGAAACAGTGATAGGCTTCCATTTACCATTAGTAACAGCATCACAAATAAAGTGGGAAAGCTTATCCATACAAAGAACAACTAAGAGGGGAGATATAGGGTCACCTTGCTGAAGTCCTCTTTTAGGAGCAAAGTATTTAGTCTTTGAACTATTCCACAACACATTATAATTAACACGTGACACAAGACATCACAAGATTAACAAATTTATCTTCAAAGCCCACTTCAATGAGAACTCTATTAAGGACATCCCAACTAAGCCTGTCATAAGTTTTTTCTAGATCAATTTTCATTGCCAGAAGACTTGTTTTTCCTTTAGACTTACTCATTACATGAAGAATCTCTTGCCCAATAATAATATTATCCTGTATATTCCTTCCTTTTATGAAATTGGCTTGAAAAGGGGAAATCAAATCATTCATCGCATCTTTTAATCTTTGAGTGATTACTTTAGTAACACATTTATAATGAACTGAGCAGAGGGAAATAAGACGAAAATGAGTCACTAATTCTGGGCTCTCTCTTTTCGGTGTGAGGGTAATCAAGGCCTTATTAGAACCTTCAATAGATAAATCCCCCTAAAAATTTCCTTTGACAAACTTGCAGATGGAAGAGCCAAAAATTTTCCAATTATGCTGAAAGAACAAAGGGGAAAAACGATCAAGTCCAGGAGCTTTATAGGGCTCCATAGCAAAAAGTGCGTCTTTAATCTCCTTATCTGTAGGTAACCTACCCATATTGCATAACAGAGTACAATCAACAGTGGGAAATGAAGTTTTTTTCCTAGCAACTCACTTCCAGTAGCATCCAGAAAGAATAAGTTCTTAAAATAGGACAGAATCATATCCTGTAAATCAGAAGCATCCTCCACACAGTCATCTTGGTCATTTTTAAGGGCAATAGTTCTATTCCATTTCTTTCTTTTATGAGTTTTAAGATGATAGTAGCGGGTATTTCTATCACCTTGAGAAACCCAAATAGATCAAGCTTTTTGAAACCATTTAATCTCTTCTAATCTCAGAACTCTATCAAGTTCATTTTGAAGCTGTATTTCAAGAGCAGCCAAAAAATTTGAAAAAGGATAGGCTTGAGAGTTTTGAATTCCTTCAAGTCTGGTAAGGATAATTCTTTTCTTTTTTCTCGACAAAGCCGAAGGTCTCTTTATTCCATATGAGGGCAGATTCTCTAAAATTATCTCAACTCTGATTTATATCAGGACAATACCTCCAAGAATTTTCAATAAAACTATTGAAATTGTCATGCTTAATCCACATAGCTTCAAAACGAAAAGGTTTAATACCTAGAAAGTTCAGTCCAACAGCATCTAAATAGAGCATTAAAGGATTGTGATCTGAGAAGCTTGTTCGACGACATAACTTCACCAAAAAATTACTGAAGGAGGACATGAAGATAGAATTTCCTAATGCTCGGTCTAATCTCTCATAGAGTCTTGAACACCTTATATTTGGCCCTTTCTAAGTAAATTTAGGCCCTTTGAAGCCCAAGTTAGATAAACCACAATTCTGTACATGATCATTTAACCACTTCATGCGAGCGTGATTAATTCAGCACCTCCCTTCCTTTCAGAAGCATCGGCAATGTCGTTGAAGTCATGAAAAACAACCCATGGCTCGTTAGGGTGCTAGATAAAATCTTCAATTCATTCCATAATGTATGCCGTAAGTTTGAATGGGGAACTGCATATGCCGTAGTAAGAAAGAAACACGGTTTCCTAGAGAAATTACAACCCATATGTAGAATTTGGCTAATTTGCTGTTTGACTGTAACGTCTACTTGCTGGCTTTTCCAAGTGACTGTTAACCCACGCAAGCGACCAGCACGAGGAACAATAGCCAGCTTGTCAAAACCCAAAGACTCTAGGCATCTTAGCTTCGACTCACTCTCACACTTCATCTCTGGTAAGATCAGAATAGAAGGGCTAGACACACCAAAAGCTGTCTTTAGATTTGTCAAGAGGCTTTTATGAGAAGCCCCTCTTACATTCCAATAGTAGATAATATTCATAAAAATGGGCTTTGAAAAAAGAGGCCGCGACCCAGTTAACACTATGAAGGATAACACTATGAAGGAAACTGGGTTTCAGGTACCACTGAACCCATACTCTGATGACTCTCATTGCATTCTTCTCCATCTGGGCCACAAAATCTTGGCGCAATTTCTCCCCTCGGGCCCCTTTCAATTTTTCCCCTTGCGCATGTCATACAATGGTTGTGCTATCAAAACCAACATGTATGTTCTCTTGGTTCGAATTTGTGGGTATGACATTATCCTCAATTTCCTTAGTTAAATTTATAAGACTATTATTTTCCACGTCAGCTAGGATATCAAACCTCGTCCCTGATCCTGCTTGCTGGAAAACTTCCCGTATTTTTCCCTTTGTCTTCCTTTGCCAATGAGGCTTTTGAACAACTCTTCTGGATTCTTGTTCAAAAACCCCGTTTTCTTTAGTATTTAGTCCCTGCCTCGTCTCGCCTGTTTGTTCACCACCTTGTCCTCTTCCATTAGGTTTTGTGGCCAGCTTTTTTGATGGGCGCACATCACTGCGATGTTCATAAATTCAAAAGTTCAAACACAGGGAATGAAGGCCTTCATATTCCAGATAATAATCCTCACCATCTAGAGAGAATCCACACACGAGTTGTTTCCCTAAGTCAACTAGGACACAAATCCTTTCTTAAGTGTCCTCAGGGCTAAGAAGAAGTTTTAACATCAACTTTAATGGTTTCTCCAATCCTATTGCTAATGATGGTAAGAGCCTCCTCGTCACAATACTCCAAGAACACTCTTGGTAATCAGATCCAAACTGCAACTTCATCAATGCTAGCTCTTGCAAGATTGAATCTAGTTTCCCATGGTCTTACTATGAGATAATGATCATAAATCATCCATGGAATTCCAATTAAAGCATTAAAATGATCATCTCTGTTTGTAAACAAACAACAACAAGCCTTATCCCACTAGGTGGGGTCGGCTACATGAATCACACAACGCCATCGTGCTCTGTCAACAACCCAATCCTTAGATATGTTATTGACTAGGAGGTCTCTTTCAATGACCTCATTCAACGTTCTTCTCGGTCTTCCCCTGTCTCTTTTTATGGGACTCCATCTTGTTTGATCCACCCTCCTCACCGGGGCCTCCAAAGGCCTTCTCTGCACATGTCCAAACCATCTTAAGCGATTTTCAACCATTTTCTCTTGGATAGGTACCACACCAACTCTTGTCCTGATCTTTTCATTTCGAATCCTATCTTTTCTTGTATGATCACACATCCATCTCAACATCCTCATTTCTGCTACTCCGACTTTGTGCTCTTGTTTTCCCTTTATTGCCCAACATTCACTACCATACATCATAGCTGGTCTTATAGCAGTTCGATAAAATTTTTCTTTAAGTTTCTCAGATACCTTCTTATCACAAATAACTCTGGTAACTTTCCTCCACTTTAACCAGCCAGCTTGTATTCTATGAGAAATGTCTCCATCAATTTCCCCATCCTCTTGTATAGTGGATCCTAAGTATTTAAACTTTGATACTTGAGGAATAATTTGTTCTCCCATCCTCACCTCTAAATCCCCATTACTTTGCCTCCCTCCAAGATCACAATGCATATATTCTGTTTTGTTCCTGCTCAAACGGAAACCTTTCGACTCCAAAGTCCTTCTCCATAACTCCAAACTAGTGTTAATCTCTTCTTTTGATTCCGCCATAAGGACAAACATCATCTCTGTTTGTAACTTAACAACAAAATAACTATAGCTAATGTTAATCAAATTGATCCCCTCTTTCCTTACCTAAAATGCCTGTAACCGAGCTTCTAAAGCTTTGTAGCCAATGCTTCTATCTAGAAGTTTCACTATTACTGCTTTTCTCCAAGCCTTGTATAATCTCTTCCTCAATCAGCCAGAGAAATGGAAAGTAGGGAAGTTACAATTGGGGTCCTCCCTTATTCTAATTAGGGGCTCTTTTTTGTCAGTTTTTGTATTTGAAGGAGAATCCTCATACATGATATCATGAGCTTGGTCATCATTCTTATCAGTTTCTTCATAAGAGTGCTCTTCATCTATGCAAACTCCTTCTAGAGTCTCAGCAAATGTTAACCCTGTTCGTTTCCTAAGCACATTACCAATATCGAGCTTCGGCCATGGGTTCACTCTTGAGCTCTCTCCTCTATCTGAGTTCCCATTCTTTATCTTTTTTGAGCTCCGCATGAGTAGGTCGTCTTCCTCAACAGAAGGAGGAATAAGAGCAATGTTTTTCCCAGCAGGAACAATTGCCATTTTACCTTATATTTCCAAAAAATCCTAAAAAACATATGATTGTAATAATTGAGATCACAATGTAGATTATGGCCCACCATTTGACCCACATCATTAAGTGGATTGACAACTTATTGCTGATACAGTAGTGAGAAAATCCAATTTATCGGGGACTATCCCATATTCCCATGATCCAGGAGTCTGTGGGGCCCATCCTGAGGAGCCCAGGGTAGTGTCTTTCTGTTTCCTTATCGGTTTTATTCCTTCTTTATTGGCAGGGCCATGTGTCGGTCTAAGATTTGGAAGACATTTCCTTCGCATTTGTTTGTGCGGGACCACTATGACGGCTTTTGCATTTTTTGGGCCATATTGCTTGCGATAAACTTTTTCTAATTCTACTGTTACTGCGTAAAATAGCTCTTGGATTTTCCTTTTTCCTCCCTTTGTTTGGCGGATACAATGTCAATTTATTATAATATAATATTTAATCAATCTTATTGCTGGATTTAGGTTCTTGTTTTCTAATTGTCCTTTATATTTGGAAATATTTATTTAGGTTGGAGTGACCACCCAGTATGCAGGAAACGTTACCACTTTATAATCAAGGCCGATGGTAGCTCTATTGGTGGGTACCACAAGCCATGCATGTGCTGTGGAGATATCTTACGTTTGTCGGAATCCAAGTGAGTAACTTCAGACTTCAGCTCTGATTGCTTATTTTCAGTTTTCTTTTGCTGTTTTTTGGGGGTGGAAGGGACTGTTGTCTTCTGAAGTTTTATCATTTTCTATTGCTTTGGTGCAGGATACGTTTTGATTTGTGATACCCGAATCTAGGATTGTAAAGTAGGACGGACGGTTTCAATTTAGTGTAGGTGAATGAGATTACTTTTCTTTGCATAATCCAAGTGGGTAAATTATGGAAGGCTTTTCAATCCAGTGTAGGTGAATGATATTAATTTTGTTTGCTTTGACATTAGCTTTATAATTATTTTGCCAACTCGGAATGGCCCTAGTAGTTCCGTGCTTTGGTAGTGTTAAAGCAACGGGAAATTTCCTACAGTTTGGGTCTTTAGGTTGCTGAGATAGCTTTGTTCTGTATAATTTTTTCGGCTAACACTATTGTTTTCATGATATAATGCTTTGATAAAGGTGAATTATTGTGATTTTAAACTCATAAAGCAATCAATCTTTAATTTGGCGTCTGGTATGCTCTTACAACAAGCGTGCAATTGGATTTCCTATTGCTTATGCTTTGACCCTGAATCTTGTTTCATGTATGTGCCCATGTGCCTGGTTATGGACAATGTGTGTGTGATGCTGTTAATATGAATGGAAGTGAGCAAATTTATGTTGCCATGAATAGGAAGAGGACAAAAGATTTTATGTCCTCATTTTCACCTCAGTCCCGTGGCTGGGTAAGGAAAAGAAATTTCAAGATTAAGTTGTAGCAGGCGAATTGATTAATGGACATGGCTAGCTCCTAGCTTATGTTTTATTAAGTTTGAAGTTATGTTTTTATATATAACTTTTTTTCTGATTATTTGGCTTTTGTCAATTGCCTAATTTGTTCTAATTCACCAAAACATATTGATAGCTTCCAATTTGATGGGTTCTGTTTTTTGGTTTGGAGCAACCGCTGTACTGATGTATCTGTGATTTAACTTATCTCTTAGTATGTTAAAGTTATGCTGGTTATTATGTGGTCACTGATTTGGTGTATGATGCTTTCTATCTTCAGGTGCAAGTCATGCAACCATGTGACGATCACTGATGATGTTGAAGACTGGGTGTATAACCAGTTAGAAAACACGACTCATCTTTTACATGGTGTTGTCCATGCAAATGGTTATGGGCACCTTCTTCGGGTTAATGGCAGGGAAGGGGGCTCGAGATTTCTTTCAGGTTGTCATATCATGAACTTTTGGGATCGTCTCTGCAAGTCACTTGGAGCCAGGTTAGGATCTTTTGTTCTAATCACAAGCTTACAACTTCTACTTCCTTCTTATTTGTCATTAAGCAGTTCTGTTAGTCTTCAAGAAAATTCTATCGATTTCTTTCTGCTTCTACTTGCCTTTCATCTATGACATCCTCTGTCACCGACTCGAGAATATCAGTGGAAAAATTATATGGGTCTGCATTGAGAAATTGATTATTGTAGGACATTACAACTACTGTTGCATAAAATGTAAGTTTCCTACAAATTAGGGGTTAAGGACTGGGAATTAGACTTCCGAAATAAAGGCATCTGGAAATATTTTGACCCTTGGTAAATAGAATCATACGATTGTTTCACATATCCCCCACCCTTTTTATTTTTTTGAATAAAAGGCTATGGACAACCTCATTCAAAAGACAATTATATCCTCTCTGTCTTGATCCACCAGCCTCCATTGTTTCACATATCCTATGTGCAGTTAGTTTTTTTTTTTTTTTTCATATAACCATGAGCTAAGATCTTAAATGTGTTCATTCATCTCTATATGGGCAGAGAAATTAGTGTAATGGATGTTTCAAAGAAATATGGGCTGGAGTACCGCCTGATCCATGCCATTACAAAGGGTCATCCCTGGTATGGTGATTGGGGCTACCAATTTGGCACTGGTAGCTACGGTCTCACGCACGAAGAATATATGTCTGCGGTTGAATGCCTTTCCAATCTACCATTGTCCCTATTCCTCTCTGAAGCACAGAGACCTGATTATCGATTGCGGGACACAATCTCATATTACCAGTCATTGTCTGAAACTGGGCTTGTAAATATAAGGGATCTCTTTTGTTTTTTGATTGGTTTGATTCATGATGCTCACATGACAGTGTCAAGGGCTGATGATGTCACTTGCAAGAAGCGCCGTTGTAACGCTGCAGGAGTGTCATGTTTCTCTTCAATGAGTGACATTGAACGTGTGGAGGGAGCAATGCTCAGAGTATTGCGTGCAGTGTCAGGATCCAATTGGGTGAACTGGCGTACTCTTAAGGGTGCTGTCTGCAAAGTGGCCTCTCCAGAGCTTCTTGACTATTGTCTGGGAGAACTAGGAGGAAAAGCAATATTTGGTGGTATGGTTGTCAATACCCGATGCAATCCTGTTACTGGAGCTTTCGAGTACAGGTCAGACTTCATTCTGATTTGCTTTCTCTTGTGTCCTTTTGATTTGCTTTCTCTTGTGTCCTTTTCATCTTGACTACTACAAAGGAGTTCATGCTTCAGAAGGGTATTTAACTACAGCGTCAGAAAGAGATCACATGTCATGAGCTCTGATTTTTCAGTTTTTATACTTTTGAAAATAATTTGGTACTGCCTGCTGTTATGCTTTTCAAGGAATGGGGTATGCTAAGGTGATGATAGTTCTTGACATTATTGTGCAGTAAGCCTGGAAAGGGAATAGTTTTTAAAATATTTATTCATGCTTTTTTCTCTTTCCATCTGTCTCTCTCCCCCTCTCGCCCTCCCTCTCACCAGCTTCAAACACAATTCCTCATGAGAACATCATTCTAAGAGTTACAAGGAGGACCAAGGTGCCGGCTTATGCACACTCCTATCATGTATTTATGGTTGATTATTGTTGAATCCTTGCATATCTGGAGGAATACTCGAATTGACATATAGTCCAATAACATACCATTGATAGGGAGGATCGCGGGACATGTCATTGTTTTCCTCAGTGCTTTGATGTTCTTGATTAGTATAATTTGAAAGATCCTCTTGTCCTTTCCATTCTAGAATTATTTTATTGGTTTGAATCGTTTCGCTGCCAATTTCTCATATTGTACTTCTATTTATTTGCAGACTAGAGGCAGGGAACAGCTTTTCCCATGGGACAACAGCAAGCAATAAATCTTTGCGTTCTAAGTATCCATCTGAAGTGAATCTCCTGCACGACTTGAGATATTTATACGAGTCTTTGCTTCATCCGCATAAGATGTTAAGATATGACTCTGGGGGGACAAGGACTGCAGCAACGAGCTCTGCACAAAAACTTCTTGACTGCAAGCATTTTGTAAAAGATTATAGGCCTGAGATGTTGCCAATGACAAGCGTGAATAGGATACGCCTCTCATGTCAGGTAGTACTAGTTGATGAAACTGATGAAGCTTTTGCAAGTCCTCCCCCAGAATTAATTGTCCTGCCCCGGAATGCCACTGTGTCCGACCTCAAGACTGAAGCATCTAATGCTTTTCAAGATGTATATCTTGTGTTTAAGAGATTTCAAGTGGATGAGCTTTTTGGCTGTAGCTCTGCAGATGATTCCACTCCCGTCAAACTCTTGATAGGATCGACAGAATTGGTTCGTGTCCAAGGAAAATGCATTGGGAAGAATGTATTGAGCAAGTTCCAAAGGGAACGTGGAATTGAGAGGTGGACCGTCGATTGCAGCTGTGGGGCCAAAGATGATGATGGGGAGAGAATGTTGGCGTGTGATGTGTGTGGGGTGTGGAGGCACACTAGGTGTTCTAGTATTCATGATGCAGATCCTGTCCCTGTGAGGTTTTTATGCCCAAGATGCCAAAATTTTGAGTTGAAGCCGCATTCAAGTGGACACTGAATAGATGAGGCTGACTAACATCAGTACTAACATTAGATGCTTTTGAAACGGCTTGCTAGTGCCATTTAGGTGAGGCATCGACTCATTCTATGCACATAAATGTTTTGTTTATGTATTTTGCAAAGGCCTGAAATGATGAGCCTGTATATAAAAAAACAGGCCTAAAATATGGCATCAGGATGGGGCTTATCTAATCGTTTTCACTTCTAGGTTCTACCTTCTACCTCTTGTTTAATTTTGTATATTTTTGACTGACTGACAAAACTAGTGGATACAGAATGGAAAAAGAAAAATCGAACCGCAAATTTTTTTTTATGCAAAGATGTTGGCTCCTGTTTTTTTGGCTGGTGAGCTTGTTGCCCTTTTGCTGCAAATTGCAATATAAGTTGGACGCTATATAATCATATTCGGTTTGTTTCAATTCCTAAAGTTGACTTATGAGAGCTATTTAAGTAAATCCAGGTTATTAAAATTGGATAAAGTAAAGTCAATTGTGAATAAATTAATACGCACATGCAAGGTGATATTTGTTGAAAATTGTATGTTGATTGTCTTTTGAAGTATGTTGGGCTTATTTAACAATTATGCTTCAAATTATATGGCTTTTGGGTTCTTAGATGAGGTATGAGAAAGAAGGGAACACTGTACAGAGTAGGGTGAGGGATATAGGTTCCGTTCGTTTTGTAATAAAGAAAGATGGTTTTCTTTCCTCGATTTGCAATTGTTACCTTCATGAATATGACGTAGATATTGCACTTGAATGATAAAAGAACTTTTTTATTTCACAAAAAAAAAACTTTTTTAATGATTTTTTCAATTTCTTATTTTTAATGTTTCGTACTAAATAGAACTTATGTACCTGCCTATCAATCCAATGAGTCCATGTCATGAGTAGTTCTGGCAACTCAAGAAAGTTCTTCTCTCAATCGATATGTTGTTTACTTTGTACTCTACTCGTGGCAAGAATTTCCTTGTTGCTTTCCCCCCAGCTTTTATGCAGCCGTTCAAAACAAAAATTTGTTTTGTTCCCAGAGGCAAGGAGACGTGAAGAATCCTCTCATCGTGTATCAATTACACAAGTAATTAGTAAAATCTTTGTATCATATATGTCTCAAGTGGTGAAAATCCCTAAAATATCTGTTTCAGAATTGACTGTAATAAAGCGTCTTTAAAAATTTCCTAGCTAAAGTATTGATTTTGACTCCCATAACCTAAGGTCCCATGTGGATCATATACTATTTATCATCAGTAGTGCTTAACATAGTGATGCATTAATTATTAATTTAAAGAGCAATATAATAATACTAAGATTTATGTGGGGCACCTTAGCTGCCTGCACTCTTTACTGCATCGCCCTCCTCTTGCAAGAAAATGCTTTGCTAGAGAACACAGAGTAAGATATCACTATGCCCACATGCATGTAGCTTGGACGCGTCCCTAGCACTTGGACAGGGCGTTGAAATTCAGGCTTCATGCGCAATTTTTTAATGATAACTTTTTTTCACAGATAGTTGTCTAATTTCGTGACTCTTATCCCACTCTACACATTTTTGTCACCTTCTATTTGTATGTGGTAGACAGCTAGGCCTGTGTGCACTTTGACAACAACTCCACTTACTTACGTTTGACTTCCATTAGAACCAATTCCAGCTAAAGTCTTCACACCATAGAGTAGATTTATAAGAATGATTATACCATGCTTGATGCTAGAATGAGCTTTACTTGAAACTCAAAATTTGGAGTTGAATTCTTCATAGTTCTAAGGATCCAGAGACTTCTTATTCAGCCTTGAAAGTTCAAACACTTCCTCTTGCTCTGATTGCTTGACACCACCAGGTGGCAACTGAATATTAGGCAAAGTATAATAGTCAAGTTTTGCACATAGATATACTACTTTCGGTCCTAATTATAAGAGCTAGTTGACTAATTTGAGGAGATTAAGGAAGTAAGTTGAGTTAGTTATTTGTCCTAAATAGGTGTTGTCTTTCCTAAAATATCCTTGCTAATCAAGTGTATTGACTAGAACTATCATGGTTAGAAAGGCTACTTTGGAAAAAAAAAGTATAAATATGATAGACAAAGTGGATTGGGGTTTTATATTTAAGATAAAAATAAAAGTCAAACAGGGTCTTATATTAAGGACCAGAGGTAGTATGCTGTAAATGTATTGATTAAACATGCTTATATTGGATGTCAAAGTTAAGACAAGAAATACCAAATGACTTTAAGTAGTGATCACATGTATTGATTTATTAATGGGGATATGCTAGTCCCGTCTCACCACCATATACTATATGCCCATTTCATCACATGCCAAATATTTTTTATTTTTATTCATACGAAGACTATTTTAGTGGCCCTATTTTTTATTTGAGAAGATGTGATAAGTTAGTTAATATATCCCTCCTGAATTAGGTTGCTCCACTATTTCAAGGATATATAACATGCTTCATATGTTCATTTATATTACTTGTTTAGGAAAATTGTTCCCCATAGAAAAATACACAAAACAAAACAAAAGCGGTAACCCGAAGTTAATTCTCCCTTTCTCAATAATCTGAAAAAGCTTGAGGTAATATTCATTTGCTTGTTCTTTCCGACAAATTCTGATAGCGTTGGAAGAGATTCGAGGAAAGGGATGTTGTACCTAATTCTTATCTTTTCTACCTTTACTTTGTCTACCTTATCTTGCATCCTAGATTTCCAATTCATCTTTATCAAATAATTAGCATTTCTAAGTGTATGAAAATATACTTGACTTTAATCTGTAAATCTTGAGTTGGCTAATACTTATTCGACAGCCGCTGAATGTGAATTTTCCTTATGTGTCAACTGACAAGCAATTAACATACATTTAGTTCATCAGCTTATATCCTTGACCAATGGGATCAGTTTGCATTTGATAAAAGTGGTGTTGCATGAACAGGAGAAAATGACAAACCACTACCTTCCACTTTTTTTCCCTTTTAATTATTAGCATTTATATATACATATAATTGCCTCTCCCCATACAGCAGTTTGCTGCTTTTTCAAGTATTTTATTCCCATGCCTCATTTCCAGTATTAAGTTCATTCTCCCCTCTCTATTATAAATATCTTAGGGATTAGAACAGACCTCTGCATAAATCATATCAATGTCTATGAAGTATTCGGAGATGGTGATGGCTAAGTTGGTGACTTCGATTCTGCTGTTGGAGACGATGGTGACAAGTGGTTTCAGGATAGGACCGGATAGTCTGAGCGTGGATTACTACGTATTCAGCTGCGCCTTTGTTGAACCTATTGTTAGGAACATTGTGAACGAAGCTTTGCAGAATGATCCAAAGCTAGCAGCTGGTCTTATTAGAATGCACTTCCATGACTGCTTCATTCAGGTTCTCTTCTTCTTCTTCTCCTCTCTCTCTCTCTCTCTCTCTATATATATATATATCTCCCTCGTACAACTGTGCACACTGTCATAAACGTACATCCAAAACATTTCGGCATTTCATCTTGCAACATGAAATCATACATGCAGTTCTGTCACTGGCCATGGGGTAAAAAGTGCTATTTTCTGAACAGTTATGATATACTCCTCCAATCCTTAACATAAGTAACATAGGACCTAATTGTTGAGTTGGTTTTGGTTCTAAATATAATACTCATTTCTTATATTTATCAATTTTCTCTAAATTACCTCTATGGATACTCCCTCAACTATAATTAAGTAGAAGAGGGAGAGAGGGTATTAAGAAAGATGATTATGGTGTTTTAGAAAAAACGTGTTACATTTCTTATAATTAACTAACTTACCTAACTTCCTTAATCTAATCAAACTAGTTAAATGGGTCTTATATTAAGGACCGAAAAAGTATCAAATTATATTTGGATACCACACAAAACTACTAATGCAGTTGTGACCACAGTGGAAAAAGTGCTACTTTGCTCATAAGGCTTGCTTTTAAGAAGTAGAACTTAATGTGATGGGTCAAAAAATGGTCATGCTTGTACGTAGTGTCTGAAGAAAAGGAGTCAGTTGGTTTGGAGTACCATGTCGGAATTTAATGAATTATTATATGATTTTTGATGGGAGCAAGTGGCTTATAAATAGTGGTAAAATTTGACGGACATGGCTTGCTTTGGGAGATATTTATTTTATTGATAATTGTAATCTGTTATTGGTCCTCCCTTACAGAATCACTTGAGTTAACGTTTGGGAGATACTCATACAACACAAAGATTTAGGATACACTCGTGCAATGCACGGTCAATATTCTAGTTAAGATCATATTTTAAAAGGTTCATGCATGATAAATTATATAATTATTTAATCACTAATTATTTGCTTTTATAATTAAAATTTTGGGGAAAGTAAGAATGATAAATTAAAGAAACAACATGCATTTTTGTTTAAGGAATTAAAGCAAGATTTGACGACCGTATTGTTTAACCCTACAATGGCCGTATGATTCCAAACATCACTTGTTCTTTTTCTTTATTATATAAAATCTCAGATTTTCAGCATTATATATATGTATATACCAACCAGCACATTAACCTCCACTATAAGGTATATATAGTGGATATTATTGATGAATAATATATCCGGTTAGTGACTCAAATGTTCCCCACCTGAAGATGTCGGGCATGTTTCAGGAACAAACTGTTGCATAAACATCGTGTTAAGGTGCAGCTCAAGAACTTACCGCTTATTTATCTGGTTTATTTATAAGTCACTTATAATGTGTTTCACACAGACTAAGAAAAATTTTAAACTTTATTAACTCTCATTTAAAATTTAATAACTTTTCAATTTTATCCATTTAATATACCTTATACCTTATGTAAACAAAGTCAAGACAATAATAAATGAAGGGTGACATTATATATTCATACAAAAAAATTTTCTGAGTACCCTATAAATGTGATAGAAAAATATATTCTCTCTCTATCCTATAAATAGGACCAGAAGAGTACTTTACATAAATGGAACTTACAGAATTATTGCTACTTGGCATTAATGAACAGGGATGTGATGGGTCGATTCTGATTGACTCAACTAAGGATAACACGGCAGAGAAGGATTCACCAGGAAACTTGAGCTTGAGAGGCTACGAAGTCATTGATAGGATCAAAGAAGAGCTTGAAGCACAGTGCCCTGGCGTGGTTTCGTGTGCTGACATTGTCGCTATGGCAGCTCGCGATGCAGTTTTCTTTGTAAGAACCTACCCTACTTTAATTTACATATACTCAGACAGAAAATTTAATTTATTATTTTCTCATGTCCTAAATATAAAAGCTAGATAATCAATTTGCAGAGATTAAGAAAATTAGTTCATTATTTATAAAAATAATGTGCATATTGTGTTGGCTTCCTCAAATATCCCTTTCAATCGTTTGCACTAGAAATAACTCCCTTAATGAAAAACACTTTTAATATATGCAATCAATAGGAAGAGTTTAAAAATATATATATAAAAATTTGAGAAACAAAATGAACTGGTGGAGTTTTATTTTTAAGATCAAAACAAATTTTTTTTACTAGTTCTTATAATTAAGATCAGAAGGAGCATATAAAATATTTAGAAAGAATTAACAAGAGAAGAGTGGGTCCCATGACGGTGGGGTTAATTGGCTTGCTATTTTTTTATTAATTTCTCCCTGACTTTATCATATATGAGATATTTTAAGGAGTTGTCTTTAATGTTTAATGTTAAGGACTGGAGGTAGTACTAAACCACATTTTGAGCATCTCATATGTTATCGTGTTTCTTTGCAATCATTTGCTTGAGCTACATAGCTTTTATCCGTATATGAAATGTTGTTAAGATCATTAGTAGAATCAAATCAGTAATGGGGGTCGTAATTATGAATATTATTGAATGAGATGAGGTTGTGATGATGATGAACAGGCTGATGAATACAGGCTGGTGGTCCGTCCTATGACATACCAAAAGGAAGAAAGGATGGAACCAGATCCAAAATTGAAGACACAATCAACCTTCCATTCCCCACCTTCAATGCCTCTGAACTTATTAGAGTGTTTGGCCAACGTGGTTTTACTCCCCGCGAGATAGTCGCTCTATCTGGTAATAAACTTGTTTCCTCCACCAACGTAACTTGCAGAGTCTGAAAAATGAGTTGAATTGTTCATGAACAATTAACGGTACAATTAATAATTTGCATACATGACAACTAAATACTACCTCCGATTCTTAATATAAGACCTCATTTGACTTTTATTTTAATCATAAATATAAGATCTCAATCCATTTTGTCTTTCATATTTAATTTATCCATTTTTTTTCAAAATAGTTATTCTAGCCAATAAACTTGATTAACAAGGATATTTTAGGAAAGATAACACATATTTATTACAAATAACTAATTTAATTTTATTTTCTTAATCTACTCAAATTAATCAACTAGCTTTTATATTTAGGATCAGAGGTAGTATATACAGAGCCCCACATAACAAGTTGAGAATAAAATATTTGTATCAATCATCCACTCTAAAATGTTAAATTTAAGTTACTGAACGAGACTTTTGGTCACATGGATGATTTGAATATGCAGGAGCTCACACACTCGGAGTGGCAAGGTGTGCGTCGTTCAAGAACAGATTAAGCCCAGCAGATCCGACGTTGGACTCAGAATTTGCAACCTCACTGTCCAAGACATGTAGCGCCGGCGACCAGGCGGAGCAGCCGTTCGACGCCACGGAGGACATCTTCGACAACTTGTACTTTGAGGCCTTGACGAGGAACAACGGCCTCCTAACCTCCGATCAGACGCTGTACAGCCATGCAGAAACCAAGAACTTCGTCGACGCCTACGCGTTTAACCAGTACCTGTTCTTCTTCGATTTCCAGCAAGCCATGGTCAAGATGGGTTTACTTGACGTCAAACAAGGTTCTAATGGCCAAGTTCGAGCCAACTGTCGGAAAGTCAACTAATCTTATAAGGTCTCGGCCGGAGACGACAATGGTTTCTCTTTGCAACGTTGTAGTATTTGTGATTGTGAAGAAGCACTGTAATACTTTATTGTTGTTCCCCATATATGTGTTAGATATGGTGTGATCTGACTCTATGCACTTGAATTGTTTTCTTTTATGACCTAGGATTTATATATAGTTAGCTTTTATTTTTGTCATAAATGGTGAGTCTAATGATATGTAATAATATTTCTAATTCTTAATATAAGAGTTTGTTAATTAATTTGAGTAAATTAAAAAAATTAATTAAGTTAGTTATTTGTGATAAATAGGTGTTATCTTTTCTAATCAAGTGTATTAGTTAGAACTATCATTATTATAAAGATTATCTTAGAAAATAAATAAATAAATATAATAGGCAAAATGAATTAGAGTCTTATATTTATGATCAAAATAATAAAAAAAAGTTCTTATGTTAAGATCCAGAGTTAGATTATTCCATTAAATTCAAGTATTATATGAGTTTAAATAGGAAATAATTTAAATAATCTATTTTTTTAAAAAGGAGTATCAATCCCATTTCACTTAATTTAACTGAAGTTAATATTTTTAGTTAAATTTTGAAAAAGGCATGTGTGTAAAAATCAAAAGAAAGGGGGAGAAGAATGAAAAAATAATACCTCTCTGGTTCTTATGTAACCACCTAATAACAACTTTACATAATTTAATGAAATTAATTAAAATTTGTTATTTTTTGGAAAATATCAAAACTATCCTCAACAAAAATAATTAATTATAGGAGTTCTGTTAATTATTTAGGAAGTTTTATATTAGTAAAGGATATTAAGTGGTAAAAATTAATGCTTTGTACAAAACATGTTATATTATTATGAAACATAAGTCTTTGTGGTAAATAAGAAAAAGTATAATGAATTTGTGGAAAATAAATAATCAACAAGTCTTTTATTTCAAACTCGCTGGAAAAAATGTGATTTTTTTTTGGAATAGTAAAAAATGTAATTGGTAAGATCTTAATTAAAAAGTAGAGACGTCGTCCTCTTGTTTTTTTTTTTTTTTTAAAATGTCTTAACCTAAAGTCTCATTTCATACAAGATTGAATCATTTGTCTTAAAAAAAAAAAGGTTGAATCATAACTCAATTTAATTAATTTAATTCGATTTGAAATTAACTCCAGTTGATTTGATTAAAGAATCAAATCAAATTGACTTTATATTTTATAAATAAATTAAAACTGTTGTTTGACTTTTCAATGATAACAAAATTATATATTGTCATGAATTAGTTAATTTTAACTAGTTTTTTGAAATGTCAAACAAAAGTTTTGATTTATTTTAAAAGAAAAAAAAAGAAAGAAAAGAAAAGGGAGAATTGCAATTAAGTCTCACTCAAAAGAATTAAATACAAAAAGATCTTTTGAAATTATGAAATTATTCTAAAATCTTAATGGACTTTTTACAATAAATTTTATTTATTTAATTACCAAAATATCTTTTTTCTTTTCTTTTTTTTAAGTTTCTATTGACAACTGAAAAAACAGTAGTTAACAACTTAGATTGTAAAGATTGACAACTATTACGACTGGTTTAACAATTCATGCGTTACATTTTGTTATATGCTGAGAAAATGTGTTGCCAAACCAGTCGCGATAGTTATCAATCATTACATGCTGAGTTGTCAACCATTATTCTTTCAGTTGTCCATGCAAACTTTAAAAATATATATATATAATTTGGTAATTAAACATAATTAAACAAATAAAATTTATTACAATTTTTTTTTTTAAGATTTTAAAACAATTTCATGATTTTAAGAATTTTTTTTTATTTAATTTTCTTAGATGAGCCCTAATTATAATTTTCTCAGAAGAAAACGCCCGGTCCCGGTGGGGAGTTTCATTGCCGCTTTCATGAGAGTGAAGCAGGGAGGCTGTGTCGGGCATCAATTCCAAATTATTCGTGAAAATTGAGACTTCGTCTCTGTAATTCTCTCAGATCCATCGTATTTCCATTTTCTGGGGAAAGTGTGTGACAGTAATGGAAAAAATGAACAGAGCCTTTGAGAAAGTTAAGAAAATGGTGGGAGTGGAGGTGGAAGACGAACAACAAACTGCAGCATTGGAGGAGAGCAACTCATTCGCCTTTATGGATGAATTTAATCAGAACTGCACGTTGTCCACCAAGCAGGTCTTTGCTTCCATTGAATGAATCTATTGTTAATAGTTCTCTATTTGCTTTATTTAGTGACAGAGAAAATAACTACGTTGGGGTCAGATGTATTTCTGGCATTGGTTCAGTTTGCTTCCATTTCGTTGTTTTGAACACGAAAGTGGGGAATGGAATGTATCTTATTACCATGCAGTAACTTATAGCTGATCGATGATCCCTTGCGATTGATTACTCGTTTCGCTTTTTTGGGTCGAAGGAATTCGTTCTCGGAACATTTCGTCCCACATTTTCCTTGTTTCTGAAGTTGACATTTTCAAATTTAACATGATTTCTTGTGTCAAATCAAAACGTGGAGATTATTTTATAAAAGTGAATGGTGGCATTGCGCTAGAAGCCAAGCTATAACACGGAGTTGTTTAAAACATTAATTTTCAATAGTAAGAAATCTTAGTTAATGGTTTAGCTGTTTACCTCCGTCTAGTTTAAAACTACGAGTAGATAAGCAATTCACAAAGGATCATCTTTGACGGATCCTGAAATATAGTTTAAACATGGTAAAGGTATTCCTTCTGTCTCTAATACTTGATTCTGAAGAAATGAGATATTTTGGTGCCCAGAGGGGCCAGAACGCCTGTATCAGTATTGTTCTATCAGGATTTACAAAAATGCACTACAGTGTGCATATGATTTTTTTTTTTTTTTTGGAGAATTACAATGAGATCCCAAAGAAGGAAAATAATTACAAAACAAATCCCATAAGTTATCATTTCCTATTCTGGAACTTGTCATTATAAGCTGTTTAAGTTGTTTTTGGAACTTTTTAGTAATTATTTTCTTTTCTTGGGACCTCATTGTTCATTTTTTTTAGGCTAATGATGATCTTTTATTTGAAGGATCCATTATTTGAAAATGTTAGCAATTACAATTCAATGGATCACCCTCTGTTGTTCCTATGTTTTTTGACTTTTTATATGTTATAAGTCAGCATCCTGAAGTTTACCCTCTCATGCAAACTTCTTATGTTACTCTGAAATTTGAAATGCTTGATAGATCATGCAACAAGCCTGTATCTATATATATCTTTCCACAGTTTGATTAATCAGCTCTCTGCTTGTGATCAAACAGAGATTATACGGCTTTGCCATATGCTTTGTTGCTGGGTTTACTTTTACACTATTGGTAAGTTTGCCACTGTTGTTTTACCAATGAATTATTTACTATTTCAATTTTTTCATTATTTGGGCATGGAAAAATAGTAAAAAGAGATTATTCATTTAAATATGAGGTGAATTTTTATTTTTTTTAAGGAGGAGATCTCATCCATTTATATTGCTCTAGACGGTGAACTAATTTGTTAACGTAATCTAGAGGGTTTACTGTAGGACAGGTTGTTGATATGTTAAGCTGATCCTGATGAACGCATGCTCTGATGGCAATTTCTATCCTGATGAACTAATTTCTGAAATGCTGCATTTAGCCGTTTAAATTTTTTATTCTCAGGGTCGTACAAGTTGCATTTGCTCATGTAAGCTCAATTATCGAAAATAATGAGCATTGAGTATGGAAGGGGAAGTAGAACAGAACTTCCAAAGGTCAATAGCTAGAAGTTACAAATTTTTTCTAGTTCTTTGCTTTTTTCATATTGGTTTCAAATTGCCAATTTTCTAGAGTTAATCTATCTTGTGCCTATCAACCATAATGAATGTTGCTCCATCTAGCTATATGAAGGGATAAAAGTTTCCAAACTCAAAATTTATTTGGCAAGCATTAATAATTATTAGTGTGATAATTTTTTTTTTTTTTTAATCTTACAGTCAATGCTTGTTTTCTTCAATCCAATCAAGTTTGGGATAACATTCACTCTTGGCAATTTGCTATCACTTGGAAGGTATCTACTACATTTACAGATGAATAATTACATTATGATGGTGTTTGACCATTCTATTCACCCTTTTGCACTCCGCAGGTGATGAGGTATTAGAAGCTTTGTAATGTGTTTGAATATAAACTGTCTCTTGTTCTTTATGCTTGAATTCGTGAATTTTGAACATCTTTCGTGAGGACACGTTATCCATCATATTTTGTTATTTCTTCTTAGAAGTTTGTTAATGAGGTGGAGGGAGAAGCCCCCTCCATTTTAACAAGATAGCTCTTTCCTTGTCTCTCAGTTTTTCTTTCGGTGGATAGTCCTACAATCAATGTTTTAAAAGAGGCAGATGTTGTACAGCTTCCTTTCTGTTCTTAGAAATGAAAGATGACATCTAACCTTGATTTTTTATGCTGATTAAATGTAGTATCATACGTCTTCTGGCTCCAGTGTAAAAACAATTTTATAAATAAACATATAGTAGTACCTGGTGAAAATCACCAAGCATGAAAATCAAGACGACTTCAAGTCTAATTTACCTCATCAACTCTTCTCTTCTGCTATAAGTGGCCGGAACAATTACTGCTACTACTAGAGTGAAGTTCTGCTGAATGTCCTATCGTGAAGATTGCTCTGAGTATGCATGAGTTGTTTTTTCATTTACGAAGTTAAATAATTTTCTCTTGTCATCTCTCTTGTTCACTCACACTTTTTGATAATGCTGTGATTGCTTTTTGTGTGTTAATATTTCACCTTGCTCTTGTGAATTGAACTTGTATAAATAATTTATATTCATGGCTGTTCTGTCTTCTTCAGATGCTAAGTTTGAGTGTTTTTAATCGCAGCACAGGATTTCTCATTGGTCCCAAGAGGCAGTTGACAATGATGCTTGATCCTGTTCGTATCTATGCAACCGCTATATACCTAGCAAGTATGATAATCGCCTTATTTTGTTCTCTTTATGTAAGTCACTGTATATCTAATCATTTGTTCTTACAAAAGGATCCTTTCTTTCACTTGACCCATTATCTCACATTGTACCCGTTTTTGCTTTGAACAGGTTCGTAACAAACTTTTGACACTTCTAGCAATTATTTTGGAGTTTGGGGCGCTAATTTGGTATGACAAAAATTTTCATGAATTTCCTATCCTTAGTAAATATCATTTAACGTTGGTTCTCCGCATTTGCCCTCTGCATGCAGCAGATAAATTTAGAGAGAGAAAGAGGAAGACAGATAGCAGATAGGACTCGTTGAATTAGGCCCATGCCCTTTCTCCTCACTCTTTTCTCTCTCCAAATTTGCTTTTTGGTTTTACCTGAGAATCTGAATTTAATATCTTTCCCTGTGTTCCTATTGATAGATTTGTAAAATTGCTTTAACCGTATACTTAAAGAAGATATATTTGACATGGCAAGCTGAACTTTCTCTGCCAAAGATGTGCTTTTATTTGAATACTTAAGGTTAGGAAGATAAGACCACGTAAGTCGGCCTATTCTCACTGTGATCCATGCTCAAGAGTGTCTGCTTAACAAAAATTTGAGTACCATTTCAACAATTGAATTTAAATTGCAAGAATGAAATGTGATGATCCCATTTTGATATCATGCTCATCAATACTACTGCATTTTGATAATTCACCCCATTTCTGATCTTGTGGTTGACAGGTATAGCTTGAGCTACATCCCTTTCGCAAGAGCCATGGTTTCAAAAATCATGGTTGCTTGTTTTGACACTGACTTTTAGGTTATAATCACAACACTCCTACCATTGTTTCCCCCAATATTTTTGAAGTTCTGCTCGAAAGGAGGTTTTGTGGAACTGAAACATACCACGGATGGAGTGAGATTCTTCAATACTTGACCGGTAGGCATGAAGTCTTGGTGGATTTTTATAACCGACAATACTTTGTTTTCTTAGTTATTTGTTTTCAGACTTCTCAAAATATATATATATATATATATATATATATATATATATATATAACATGTCGACATTTTCCAGTTCGCTGTTGGACACTTCAGAAAAATGTTCTGCTGCTTTTTTTTTTTTTTTTGCCAACTCATATTATATTTTTATTGAAGAATATGATCGTAAGCAGTTGTCTTAAAGTTGTTTTCCCGTACAATATTTCAGTGGATCAAAATATGGAAAAAAATTTCTTCCAATTTGTCTCCTTTTCTTTTTGGCTTTCTTTATTTTTCTTTTCTGACTTTTGTTCATTTATTGAATCCGCATGGTGCACTGGAGAAGGTCACGTCTTGGGGGCTGCGTTGCCTTTGGTTTAAAGGTTTACAAGAAAAGAGGGATCACCAAAATGACCCATTTTTAGGTGTTGATTGAGAAAATAGAGAAAAAAATTGAGATGGTTTGATGCTTGCATTTGATGCATATAAACAAGATATTTGTAATTATATTCTATTTTTATTAATTTAGTTAATGAAAGGCCCTTGGACAAGAAACATTATTTTCTTGTTAATATGGGCAAATTATAACACTAGCATATGCCCAGGACAAGCGAATTTTCTTAGTTTGCATGCATCTATAAATTTACTTATGAGAAAAGGGAATATAAAATATAAAGGGGGAAACTAGTATTACTATATTTTTAGGATTCACACGGGACACAGCACAAAAATTCTAATTTTTTTTTGTATTTTTTATGTTCAAATATTTTACACGACCTAAAGATGTGACACTGATCTTCTTTCCACAGCTTGTTTCTTCAATGAAGATCAATCTTACTGTCTCTGCTAGAGAGAATCTATGCTAGAAAGTCTTTTAGTAGAAAATGAACATACATTCTTATATGGGTTACTTAAATAACATAGCTGACCGACATATTACTGTTACTTTTTGAAATTTCAATATACTTTTGTTGAAAGAAACAAGATAAAATCAAAGGGAAAATTACTCTCAGGTCTCGAAAAAAAAAATTGTAATCATCGAAAAGTTTTACTACAAATCAGCAGTATGCAATGAATGAGTCCGATGCAGAAAATAATAATGAATTCATACAGCATTTGTCAGGGGTCTCCTTCCCAAAATCAAATCCCCGATTAGTTGTTGAAAGAATGAGAGATCTTATCACTCATGCTAACTGAATTGGTTTTTTAATTACTACCTCCTGTAGTTATAGTTAACTAATTTGAGTAAATTAAAGAAATTAATTAAGTTAGTTATTTATAATAAATATATGTTTTTTTAAAAATATCCTTACTAATCAAGCATATTGGCTAGAATTACTATTATTGCAAGGACTTTCTTGAAATAAAATAAAATAAATATAAGAGACAAAGTGGATTAGAATTTTATATTTAGAATCAGCTGGAGGTGATATTATCTTTCAAAGAAAACAATAAATAAATACAAAGATTAGCCACGAAGCAGATTCACCTGCCGCCATAGATGATTGAGTTGTAAGTTATCAATTGCAGTTCGCTTTTTTGCACCACACAAGGATCATGGAAACATCAATTAGTACCTATGATTATCATATATTTTTTTATTTAAAAAATAGTCTTAATCACTTTTCTTATAATTGGCATCCAAAGCCCTACCCTTAATGTCTTGCCACGGAGGACATCAAGTTCAATTATGGACTTCAATTTCAAAAGTTGATTTCTTTCTGCGCATTCTCAGTAGGAAAAAACAAGCATCCTTTCTGCGCACATGACCCACCCAAAACAGCAAGTCAATGAAATTTATGTGTGCGTGGTATCATAATATAGCCTTGACTTGTATAATGTGCTTAAGCAGAAATAATGTGCTTACTAGTTCACCAAGAAATAATTACTAAGAGGAAGATATAGAAAATGAAGACGTTTAAGTTTTAACTTATTGATATTTAATTAGTAGCATTTTCATCATTGCAATTATTTAAATTTATATTTGTAACTCACTATTTATCTTTAGTAAAAAATTTCAAGAACTAATATTGTTAAATTGATATTTTGAAACTTTAGTGTCATCCTTCCTTTAAAAATTTCAAGTTATTAATTGGTTTCTTGAATTAAATAAACAACGGCTAGATGAATATATAAGTGATAAATCCAGGACTTAAGGAATAGTTTATTATTTTGGTAAAAGCTTAAAAATTTTAATACAAGTGATACCGCTTTAAAGGGACAACCAAAAAAAAAAATGATAGTGGACTTCAAGGATTGAAGGAATAACACGAGCCAGAAAAAAAAACGAATAAAAATAAAAATGTTGACAAAGATATATGATCAATTGATCATACAAGAAAAGATAAAATCTGTGATAATTAGATATGAAAAAAATTAGTATGACATCTGTAAAGAGAAAATTATAGAAAATAATTTAAGATGGTGTGGATATATATAAAGAATGCCTCTAGTGGCATCAGTGAAAAAAAAAAGTCAAATAAATTGTTTTAGCCCACGAAGAGATAGAGGGGAAAATCAAGAATAATACTTAAGTTATTGTGGGATCTCTTTGTAAATATGTATTTGAAGAGTTGTTGTTCATATAACAAGATAAAGTGTGATTATATTCATGTATTTGGCCTTATCTGGTGAGAAATAAAACTTCTTGTTATTGTAGTATAAGCATCAAGAACTTGACACATTATATTATATTGATTCAGATAATGAGTTAGATTGTGTTTTGGCAAGAGTTTTTCTTCTCTCAGAAAAGAATTAAAATCTAATTAAAGAGGAAGCTGAATTAGTTGCAAAATACACTGATATAGTGCCCATGAAGATCCTCAAAACTACATTTAATTCACGTTGTTCTCAAGAAAGAAAAGGAACACAGGATACACTATGAACAAATGGAAAAGCCCTTCAAACAGGAAAACCAGTGAAACAGAACAAAAAGCAACCCCAAACCGAATCAAAGAAACAGCCAATAAGCTGGAAAATTGCTACAACTAGCCAGTGGAGCACAAGTTTTTTGCATAAGTATTCTTGTTATTGTGCATCCACACTCTGAGGACTCTCCTCTTGATTCCTATCTCTTCACAGAACTGCTGCACCACAGATTCTTCAATCTTCTGCGTTTTCCACCCTACCTTCTCTGCAAATTTCACCATCTTCTCCTTCTGTTCTGCACTGAACTTAGTCCTAAACCTTTTCTTCATCATCACCTTCTCATCTTCTGGTTTCCCAACCTCTTTATAATGATTCCTATGATCTTCTTCCCCGGGATCTTTACTACTGTCATGATCATGTGACTGATCAGAAAGACTTGAGCCAGTTTTGTTGGGAGATAATAGAAGATGATCCAGAAAGATGGGGTTGGTGATCTGAGAGGAGTTTGGAAGCGATGGGGTGAGATAATGCTGATCAGAGCTATAAAAGAAAGTATTGGAGGAGGAATTTGAATAACAGTATTGGATCTCCTTTCTGTGGAAGTTTCTGTGGCAACCGCAGGCTGAGCACTTGAAAGCCTCAAGTGAGCCTTCTTCTTCTGAAGAAAGGAACTCACCACACCCATCAATTGCATGCCCGCCTATTGAAGCTGCATGGTTCTTGAGGCATTCCTGGTAACTCACTACTATTATCCTCTTCTGTTCTTTAGGCTCTTCAGTAATGGGTGAAGGAGAAGAAGGGCTTGGCCTTTTGCATTCAACATGACAGTTGCTAGAGTCCATGTTAGGAGACAGAACACAAAATAACAACTTCTATAGCTAGAACAGAAAAATACCTTAAATTATTATTAAGGAAAAAACGGATTTGATCATAGAAATGATTTTGGCTCTGACATGAAACAGAAGAGAACTTTCTAACCGGACTGTGATGGATAGAACCTTCTGAGAAAAAACTGGCCACATGAGAGAGAGAGAGAGAGAGTGAGTGAAAGGATGGATAGGAATTTTGCAAGTGAAATAACAAAGGGCACTCAATTTATATATAATAGTAAGGAGTGAAAGAGGCATCAGAAACATCATAAAACGGTCACTTCAATTAAAGTTTTTAATAACAAATTAGGAATGTTTAATTGAAATCTGAGATGGGATTAGAGAAAACACAATCTTTCTAATTTGGGTTCAAGACAAAGTTGGCATGAAATAATCCCAAAGTACAACTGTAATGCTTTCCTAACGTAAGATTGAACAAGATTGTTTTCAAAATTAAATATTGGGTTGTAAGTAGATTCTTGTTTCAGTTCCAACATTTATGATATATGGGTATATGTACATGATTTGAAAAAAGTTTTATTAGAGATTAAAAATTGATTTTTATATAGATCATATCAAATTTTAAAAAAAAAAACTGCAGACTGTAGGTCAAACAGTGGACTAACTTTTTTCAAAAAAAAAAATAAAGGAACAAAATTACTACCTTCAGTCCTTAATATAAGGCCTTGTTTGATTTTTATTTTGATCCTAAATATAAGACCCCCAGTCTACTTTGTCTCTCATGTTTATCTAGTTTTTCCCAAGATAGTCATTTTAATAATAGTAGTTCTAACCAATAAACTTGATTAGAAATGATATTTTTAAAAACAATATTTATCTATTACAAATAACTAACTTAACCCCTTTTCTTAATCTATTCAAATTAGTCAACTAACTCTTGTATTTAGGACCAGAGGTAGTAAATATTTTTTTGCCAGGAAAAGAAAACCAAAAAGAACGCTCAATGAAGTAATTGAATGAGACCTTCTGCCTAACAATATATCTAATGACATCGTACGATTCATGTAGCCGACCTCACTTAGTGGGATGAAGCTTATTGTTATTGTAAAAAAATAGATACTGAAACTCATTCTTATCGTATCATCATCTCTTGGTCAAATCAAATTCTTAGCATGCTATTATATGTTCATAATCAAATTGTTAAATTAATATTTTGAATAAGATGGATTTTAACTTGCTTATTGAAAGAGTTAGAGAGAGGTGTTTTGTATGCAGGATTGAAATGTTAAAAGAAAGAACGTTTAATTAAAAAAAGCGGGGAGTTTATATGCTTCCTTCTTCTTCTTTTCTTTTTTTTTAAGACATAAACCTTAATTAAGGTCTTATAAAATTGATTACTCCAAAAGTGATTACATTAATCATAATCAAACGAAACAAAGAACAGCTGTCATCATGAACCCTTGCTTCGCAACAAGACAATCGATTTATAATTAAAAGTGCGTTGGGAGTCCTAGATTTGGTTGGTAGCCTCAGCCCCACACTTATAAATTGCCATGCCATATTACCACACACACACACAGATGTGTGTGTATTTTTCTTGCCAACCATATTACCACACATATACATATACATATATATTTATATATAAACACATAGAGAGGGAGTGTTAAAATCGTTCTTAGAAATTTCCCATTGGATGTTCACAGAAGTAATAAAATTGTTGTTGTTCGGTTCATCTAAATATATATATATAACGCTCTTGTATAAAAAAAAATAGACCGAAATATATCTTTAATTCTTTAATTTTATACAAGATTTTAACTTATCTTATAGGCATTAAAATACATATATCCATTTAAAAATAATTTCAACTTCCAAAAAAATTAAAAAAGCAATTTGCGCTCCTCAAAAAGTTACCACCAATTTAGCGGAGCCACGTTAGATTGAAGGAGGCCCCACCTTGTGATAAATTATAATTTATAAATAGGTGACAGTAGGTCTTTTGTCTGGTAAAGAAACTCTACCCATAATTTCACAAACTTTACTATGATATTACTTTCATAAAAAATATATACATCATTATTTTCTTCTTACCTTTAAAATCAAAACCGACTTTTTAACAACCCTTTTTTTTAATTATTTGCCTTTTATTTCATGTTCAACAATTTTAGAACATGAGATCACATAGAGGAGAACTGTGAGGCGTGTAACACACACACACACATTATTAAATTTTGATTTTTATTATTAATGTTAATAACCTTTTAAATTATTAAAGTAACACAGGTCATGATGAGTTTTCAACTTTGTTCTTCTAAAAACCTAGACAAACTTATAGTTCTGTAAATATTTTAATGCTTGGTGCTTATAAGAACCAAAGTCAACGAAGGTTACCATGTCTCTAAAAGAAATTGTTAGTGCTATGCTACATTAAGATTCATTAAAAATATGTTGATTTGTTCACTCAATCACTTGTTGAAAACATTAAAACTTCTAATTTCTTCCCCAGTTGAATGTTTCCCCTTTCAAAGATACAAAATATACTATCATACCAAGTTCTGAATATGCCTCTCAACCATAGTATGCTTTTCTTTCTTTTTTATTTTTCAATTTTAAAGGACATAAATTATCTATCAAACACAAATCCTATGTGACTATTTAATAGTGCGTGCCTGCAACAATTATTTCCATGAAAATAAATAAGGCTCTCGTACATTACCGAAGCAATGCAATTTTTATTACTATTTCCGGTTCTTAATATAAAAGCTCGATTAATTTTTATTTTGGTTCTAAATATAAAATTTTAATTCATTTTATCTCTTATATTTATCTATTTTTTTTCAAAATAATCCTTGTAATAATAGTAGTTCTCACCAATTTACTTAATTAGCAATGATATTTTTTAAAAAAATATATTTATTATAAATAATTAACTTAACTAATTTTTAATTCTTATATTAAAAACCAGAGGTAATATAATAGTTTAAGATTTAAGATGTGATTGAGCGATAGTCATACACACACACATATATATAGAGCTTGAAAAGAAGAACGTATCTCACCTTTTGCATAATTTAATTTTCATCAAGGAATATAGAATATGCGATTAAATTAGAATGATGATAATGTACAAATAAGTAGGGACCCTCCAATAATTATTAGATCGTGGAGGTGGTGGTGGAGAGAGGTAGCCCCACTAACGAGTCTTATTTTTACCATTCCTCTTCTTATTTTGTACCTTTATCGCAGCTGTACGTCTAGGCTGCCCCAGAAGTTCCGATTCCCCACGTACACCACTTTAGGATCTTGTAAGGAAGAATAATTATTTTAAAGTCGAGGACTTGGTTTGAATGGAAGAAAAAATGAGGGGAAAAATTAGGAGAGAAAAAAAATACTATAAAAAAAGTCTACTATTTTAAATAATTTACAAATGAGTAGCAAGCAAAGGTAGTGTTATTCTTTTCGCTCCCTGATTTTCTTCTCACAGAGACAGAATAAAGGGTAAATTATTGACCTTAAAAGATTTCAAAGTGTGGGTGGTGGTGATGATGATGATGATGATGAGGGAGTATGAGATGTGAAGCTAAAAGAGGCATAAGACATGGTACCGCCACGGATGCTGTCATGAATCACTTGGGCTTTGGCATTCTCGCCGGCGGCGCCCATGGCGACGTGCAATGGGAACAAGTGATCCGGCCATGGGTGTGCCATTTTCGCATGTGGTGCCTTCTCTTCGTACTTGTTCACTTCTTCGTGTCTGCACATTTATATGTATATATATATATATATATATCATCACCCTTTTTATATGGAGCCTTTTCTTCCCTCACAATGAGTTTTCCAAGTTCAATTTTATATGTCGTCTTATCTCTTCTCTTCTTTTGCCCCTTTTCTATTTCAAATTTCAATTCCATATATGAGACATCCTTCTTCAGTCCATTTATTCTGTCTGCCATTCTATATATGTAGATTCGATGGCATCATATATATATATATATATATATACACGTATAATTGATATATTGTATACTAAGGCTGAATCTCCTCAGCCATATTGGTAGTATTATGAACATAGTATTGAGAGGCTAAGTCATGTTGTGGAAGCAAAGAAAATACAGTACCTGCCATTAAGAAGAGAGTCTTTCAACCAGGAAATGAATTCAACAGCCCAAGGAACATCGCCGACGGCGTCCCAGCGAGCTGTTCTCAGGTTATGAGTGGCACTTCCGGACCCAATTATCAGAACTCCTTCTTCCTTCAAGGGAGCCAATGCCTTTCCCATCTCATAATGAAACGTCCCGTCTCTGTTCCCGGAAACTGACAGTTGGCACACCGGGATGTCCGCCTCAGGGTACATCAGCATCAGCGGCACCCACGCGCCATGGTCCAACCCTCGCGTTCTGTCTTCGTCCACGCGCTCTATCCCCGACGCTTCGAGAAGCTCCTTCACCCTCCTCGCCAGATCTGGAGCCGCCGGTGCCGGATATTTCAGCTGCACGATGTAATTCAGAGATCGCGCATGAGGATTGAATTCTGACGTACTGTGAGTTAATTCTTTCAATGAGTAAATTAATCCCCAGAGCACGTAAACCTAATGAGCGAGAGAGATCTGAGCTTTGAGAAACTTGGAACGGAAGAAATAGGAACGAACCTCGTACAAGAATTTGGGGAAGCCATAGAAGTCGTAAATGGTGTCGTTGCGAGGGACGATGTTGACGGAGGGGAATTCGGTGTCCCAGTGACCGGAGATTATCAGAATGGCGGAAGGCCTCTGCGGGAACACCTCCGTCTTCCATTTCTGGAGGAATCCTCTAGCCGGAGTCGTCTCGTCGATCAACAGCATCGGGGATCCGTGCGAAATGTAGAACGTCTCCTTGATCGCTTGCATCTTTAATTGCCGCTTAGCTATATATGTTGGATGATTAATAAATCTGCTTATTAATACTGATTCGTATCTGGGATATCAAACTAATTCAGTTTCTCAGGAAATTAGAATTGAGAAATAGATCCTGACATGGGTAGGTGAGTACCGCGTAATATCTCCCCAGTCCCCACCTAACAAACCCCAGACAGGTATTTCGTTATTTCGTCTTTTCTTTGTCTCAACTATCGCCTATTTTTTTCGGTCAAAGGAAAACTATTGCCTATTTGTTTTTGAGGTGACTTTGAGAGTACCTATTTGTGTGTCCCTGTTTTAGTCTAGTGCATTAATTTAAATAAATTAAAAAATTAGGTAAATTAATTATTTATAATAAATATATATTATATTTTTTTAAATATCTTTACTAATCAATTATATTAATTATTATTATAATAAAAATTATTTAAAAAATAAATATATATATATATATTAAAAAAAAAAACAAATGACATATTGGCAAAACGAGCACTGACTACTCCTATTGGCCTTCAAGTTTAGCGTGCTTTTTTGTTTTTGGGAACTATTAGCGTCTGCACCTGTCACCCAGTTTTGTCTTCGTCTCTCTTTTCTTTTCTGATTGTGTAATATACATATATATATATATATATTTATATAGAGAGATTGGGTGTTATATTTAAAATAAAAATAAAAATCAAACAAATTTTATACTACCTCCTCCGGTCCTTAACCTATTTGACTTTTATTTTTATCCTAAATATAAGATTTCAATCCACTTTGTCTCTCATATTTATTCAATTTTTTCCAAGATAGTTCTTCTAATAATTATAGTTATAGTCGATACACTTGATTAACAAGGATATTTTAAGAAAAACAACACCTATTTAGAACAAATAACTAACTCAACTTATTTTCTTAATCTCTTCAAATGAGTCAACTGGCTCTTATAATTAGAATCGGATGTAGTATTAAAGAGAAGGGGTGATAGTATGATTCACGATTCAAGGTTGAATCTGGCGAAAAAGGGGAGGTTGAAAGTTTGTTACCTTCCACTTTAAGTCTGAGCGCTCCTATTGAGAGGGGCAAATAACCTGATAATATAATTTAGGAAAAAATATTAAATGCCGGATAATAATATTTTTTTAAAAAAATTCTTCTTAGTTTTGCCTTTTTTTGACCCGCAACTTCTCCTTAGTTGACCGCATGAGACATGACATCAGAAGAAAGAACATCTGGAAGGGGACTAGGTATTACTATTATCCCATTTTCAAAGTTTTGCCATTTGACCTCTTCCACCGGTTAGACATTTTAGAGAGTGTTTGGATAAAAACCAAACCATGATTTCAGAAGTGTTTTTACGGATTACGAAGTAAATATGTGGAGGAGGTTATTTCGTTTTGCGAAAAAGTGCTTCTGAAACCACGGTTTTGAAACACCCAAACAGAGCCTTAATCACACAGACACACACAAACACACACACAGAGATACCTGTGTGTGTCTGCATATGCTTCCTTATCTTTTTAAAAAAACATATATACTTCCTTCTTATCCAACACTTGTCCCTATAAGAATCAATAAGAATAAGGCCTGCTTTGGCTTTAAAAAGAAAAAAGGAACAAGGCCTATCAAAAAATAATTATGAGAATAAGGCTTATCACCAGAAAAATGAAATAAGAATGAGACTTGTGGTTGCATCTGGGGCTGTCGTTGTCTTTGGATTTTTGGGCTGTCTTCATTGACATTATTATTCTGAAGTCATGCTTCAAGTGATCTAGATATGCAGTGTAGATGTGCAATAACTATTTTAGTTTAAAAAATAAGGACTTTAAATTATGGAAAATGACAATAAAACCTTAAACACTGATCGTTTTAATTAAATTGTCCAGTTAAAAAAGACAATACTAAAATGCAAAAAGGAAGACTGTTAAATTACAGGTGATTTTTTTTTTGGCCCAACCTTATAAGATACTCCCACTAGTCCTAAATATAAGTTTCAAATAACTAATTTGGAAATAATAAATAATTAGTTAAAATTAGTTAAAAGCAATAAATATATTAGTGTTATGAATATAATAATATCTTTATAGATATCCATATATCTCACATTATCTTCTATATTTCCTATATCTCCTATAATCTCCAATATCTTTTATTCTCTATATCCCACAATTATTTCATATTAATATGTAATCTGTAGATTTTATCAAAGGTATAAAGCTATACCTATAAATAGAGGCCATATATAATGTACTAAGTACACTTGAATGGAAAGAAAAGTACTTTTTCTTGCTGATCCTCTCTTCTTTTGTATGATTCTTCTCTATTTCTTCTTTATTCATAACAATTAGAAATATAATCTTGTTTTTAAATATGCCCTTATAATAAATAAAAAAGAAGGATGAAAGGAAATGGATGGAGAAATATGATAAAAGAGAATATAATGAATGGGAGAGAATAAATAATTTGAGAACAAGATTAAAAAAATACATCAAATGATAAGATAAACATAAATTGAAACTTATAAAATTGACCACACACTTTCTCAAATTTAAAACTTATAGATGTACACTTAATGTATTCTTCCGATAAGATGCAATTTTAATTGCAATATTTAGCGAGATGAGTATGTGGCACCATTAGATTTTGAAAGGATGCAAAAATACATAATCATGATTTTAAGAGTATTTTTACAATATACAAAATAAATATATAAAAAAATTTATCTCAATTTAAAAAATATGTTTCTGAAAAGAGCTTACGGGGTTACCCAAAATTTGCCTCTGTTGTCAAGTCCTCCGAATGAACACTTTTACTTCTTTTGTTTTTTTTATTGATTTGGTTGGCCCTAAATTTGTCCGCATTTCACCTTCTTTTTCTTTCCTTCTTTTTTTATCTCCCTTCACTTGCCAGCCCTCATCCTTTCTCTCTCATTTCTTCATTCTTCTCTTTCTCTCCACGCACTTATATCCTTCTCCTTTAGGCTCTGTTTGGCTCAATAAAAGGAAGTGAAGGAGAGGAGAGTAGAAAGATTTTTAATATTATCCTATTTGAATTTATAGAAAGAGAGGGAAGGAGAAGAGTTTTAATATTATCTTATTTGATTCATGAGGAGAGGGGAGGAAAAATATTTTGACATAGACAATTTCGTCCTTATTTTATTTAAGACATCATATGACAAAATATGGGTATAATGATCACAACATGACAAAATATTATCCTTTCTTTCTAAATTCTCCCAATTTTAAAGGGGAGGGGAGGAAAAAAAATTTTAAAATTTTTGCTCCCCTCCTAAAATTTGTGTGTTGCCAAACAAGTAAAAATAATTAAAATCATTCTCTTTTCCTCTCCTCTCTTCCCTTCCAAATCTCTCATACCAAACACATCCTTACACCCTCGTCCTTCCCTCCCCTTTGCGTTCCTCTCTGGCACTTGTTCTTTCCCATCTTTCTCTCCCCAGTATCCTCCACATTTAAACTCCAAAGTTCGACCCCATCAAATGAAAGCGTCCACGTTTGAAGAGTCAGCCTCCACGGTAGCTACCTCGGTGTCGCCAAACCAACCACAGCCACTGCTGATTTCATCGTCATCTTCTCTGCTTTGGCCTCTGGCCTGGTCAAGGAGTAATCTCTAGAACACTAACCAGCATGACCAACTCGGCCAACCTGCTTCTGCAAGCAAAGATGGTAACACGGGACAATCCACGGCTCACGGGTTGACATGTGATAGGTTAGGATTAAACAGCGAAAATTAAAAAAACTCGTATAATTATGAGTTAATTTTTAATTAATTCTAACCTATCGGGGTGGGTTGGGACCACGCTCAACTACTATTTTAAAAAAATTGATATTTTTTATACAATAAAATTTTTATTATTTTTTAAAATACTTAATTCAAAACATTAAATAAATAGCTTGCACGGGGCATCTTTGAGTGTGTCACCAATCTCTTGATACTGTGACAGACTTGCAATGATTAAAAAAAAAAAGGAGGAAGAAAATGACGAGTGGAGAGATGAAAGGTAGGGATAGAGGGAGTTTGGAAGAAAAAGAGAGAAGTGATGAGAAAAAGATGAAAAGGAAGAAGATTGATGAGAAGAGGCGCGGAGGAATGCAGGGGGGGGGGGGGAATGAGAGGCGGGAAAGACGATGAGGTAATACCGTGTTAGGAGAGAGTTTGGAGGAAGGAAAAAAAAAAAAAGCGTTGAAGATGAAGAAGGCTGACGTTGAGGGACGGAAGTGAAAACCAACGTGGTACAATGTCGCTATTTTTTAATGATTATAAAAGTGTTTGAATAGAAATCAAACTATGATTTCATAAGTAATTTTACGGTATACAAAATAAATATGTGGAGGAGATTATCTCAATTTATAAAAAAATGCTTTTCAAAAGTGATTTTCATATCATCCAAACACCCCTTGTAACTCAAAACTTAACGATGCAGGTGCCAGGTGCCAGTTACCAGACATTTATATTTCAAAAAATTTTATTAAAAAATTGCAACTTAACAGGCTTGTTTGGCAAATGACCAGAACCATATTTTTAGGATCCAAACCATGATTTGGGTAAAAATTTCTAAACAGGAAAAAAAAATCAGCAAACCATGATTTTGAATTAAAATCATTGTTTTATGCTCAAAACTATAGTTTCAGAAAAAATGAATCCATTCTGTTTTTAGTTCAAAATAGAAACTATGATTGTATCTGTCAAAATAGATTTCAATGATAATATGACTTTAACACTCATCAATTATTTTTCTATAAACATATTTATCTTATATTTTATAAATATATACACACATTAATTATTTATTAATTACATTATCTTAAATATTATTAATTATGTTGGTGAAAAGTATGTTATTAACAATTTTATTCCTTCAAATTAAAATATCTTATAAAATTTATCTTTTATATAATTATCATATTAACTTACGCCCTTTTTAGTAATTTGCACATATAAAAGGTATTTCTGATAACAACTATCCAAACAAAAATCTATTCTCGAGAAGTTATTCTCTAAACTATGATTTAGTTTCATCCAAACACCCTAAGATGAATTTCTCTGTAAAATTTAATAAGTTTTTCCTTTTTTACCCAAAAGTTAATAATTTTTTTTAATTTTATCGCGATATAATAAAATCTACCAGCTGTTTACGATTTTTTCAGTTTATTAAAAGACCTACTATTTATCAACGACAAACAATATCACTTATTTCTTTTAGATTTGTGCACAAAAATATGTAGTTTTATTATATATATTATAATGTATTCACTATAGATGACCTCTCATATAACCAAATAGTATTAAAATTAAACATAAAATTTATAATAAATCACATCATTTAGGATGTGCTTATGAGCTCCCAGAAATACTTTAAAAAAAATACTTTTATACATTTTTTATGTTTATCTCCAAATTTAAAATCACCTGTAAGGTTCGAAACACCCCTTATAAAAATAATAGGCATCAGTTATATTATATTTTTTGATTTAAAAACGCAAATAATTTAATTTAGTAGCTGAAAGATTTGAATGGGGTGCGGTTGTTTTGGTGCGGCAGCACGCAGTTGTCTTGGCCTACAAAAGTACATGGAGAGACTATACTCGCAAAATCCAAATATCAGTGTGCGCCAAGGGAGACTCAACGCCAAAAGGAAACATATGGGCGCGCCTAATCTATAGGCTGATGAAGAGAATTTGGTTACGTATGCGTAAGATTTTCTCTTTGTTGTGCGTTTGATAGGGTTTGGTTTGACTCCACTGTGCAAATCCCACTTCATTTTGGTTTGTTTTGGTCGAACATTAGCAATATAACAGAATGTTGTGTTGCCATTGTCGCTTGTCAGTCTTGGCTGCTTTATCTAGTGTTTTGATCAGTGATTCTTGGCATATCACACGGTATCCAATTCACTAACTTTTGTTATTCAAATGCTGTTTCTTCTTCGGTCTGGTTTTGCTTCTTCTCATTTGTTTTCCCAATCTTTTCCTCTCTCTCTATATATTTTGAGTTGAGGAAGTTAAATTGGGTTTGCTCATTTTTCTCGGAGGGGAGGTGGTCTTCTTCTTTCTTCAACTTATTTCTTAGGGGTGCATTGAGATTGGATATTTGTCAATTGAAACTTTATTTAATTTTGTTTTTAAAATGCTGTTTCTTCCTCGGTTTTGTGGTTGGCCCTTGTCACGTGTTTGTCAATCTTTTCCTCTATGACTCGTATGTTGCAGAGAAGTTTAATTGGGTTTGACGCTAAAAAGAAGTTGTCTCCTTTCTTGTTTCTTCAATTTATTTTCGTGTGGGTGCATTGAGGTTGGGTATCTATCAATATATTCTCGATCCAAGGAGAAAATAGGACATTTTGAGTTCTATGATTTATTCTATTCCTGTCTTGCCTAATTGTCATTCTACTCTTAATTTAAACCTTGTTGCACTCTTTGGGCAAAAAAAAAAAAGAAGCAAAATTGTCGAACCCATACTATAAGTAAGTTGCGGTGTCTAATAATTGCTTCTATAGGTTTCTACGAGTTCATATTTTGTCATATGCGATTAAATCTGTTTAGATGCTGGTAAGTGTTTCTTATTGAGTGCAGCTATAAATTATTGTACGCTCATTTAATTTTACAATTTGTTTTGTCAGGTTGTATACACCAGCTATTACGTGACAAGCAGGCTATGCAAGTTGGTATTATTTTGGCTGTGTGACTACCTTCTGGCTATATTTTACGACTGGATTGATTCTCATTATGAGTAGTATGCTGAAGAGATCTCATGAAGAGACTGTTCAGTCATCTTCCAAGCATCCTCATGAAGATGCTGTTACTTATTCTAAATTGTCATCATTGGCTTCGAATGAATATCACATTGAAACAGTTCAAGACTCCTGTGTGGCAAAGATCCCACGTTATGAATCTCATGATACAGACAGACAATTTCCTCCTCACTCAGCTCATCGGATGCCATCATTGTCTAATGAGCCACATTTAAATCATCCTGTCAGTACTGAAAACAGTTTAGAAGTAAGGGATTTTAAGGATGGTAGAGATCTCCAGCTTGTGAACTGTGATGTTAAGTCAGAGAAGAACGAGTTCCATGGTGAGCTTACAAGGGATTCTCAGATTGCTAAGAATGAGAAGGATGTGCATGTTAAAGGTAGAGAAGATGACAAGAAAGATGTTAGATATGATAGGGATAGTCGTCATGATTTTAAAGGTGATATGAAGACAGAGAAGAATGGTTACAGTGTGTCGAGTAGTCCATTGAATTTGAAAGAATCAAAAGAGCGCCATAGGGGGAAAAGATACTCTGATGCTTCCAGTGGGGCTTTGGATGTTAGGCATGTATCACATGGGAATACGAAAGGCTCTCTCGTGGCTGGGAAGGAGGGTTCAACTGCAGAGGAGAAGAATTACGTGGAAAGTCATGAGGCTCTTGGGGAGAACAAATCTAAAGACAGATCTAAAGAGAAGGATAGAAAAAGAAAGGATGTAATGCATTGGGATTGTAGGGAAAAGGAAAAACAAAGAAGCGACTGTAGAAGCAGTATGCAAGTAGCTACTAAAGATGAAGGCAAAGATTCTGCTAAAGAAGTTAGGGATGTACAGAGGTTGGAGAGGGCGAAAAGAGATGTTCCAAAAGACAAGGCTAGTTTAAAAGAGAGAGGAAAGGATCGTATCAAGAGGGACTTATGTAATGAAATTGTAAAAGTTCAAAATAATGAGAAAGAGCATGGTGATGCATCAGTTAAAATTCCAGAGCAAGATAAGGCATTGCCAGAACAGAAGAAACCAAAAGATCATGATAATTGGAAAAATGTTGACGGGGAACCAGCGGAGAGGAGGACTGAAAAGAATTCTGATTTAGGAGATAGGGCTGATAAGCGTAGTAGGAGCTTTGACAAGGAACCTGAAGAGGGAAGTGCTGATAGGGAAGGGGAAGCTGAGAATGAGAAGGAAGTCTATAATTCTGGTGTTCACCATCGTAAGAGAGTGAAAAGATCAAGAGGTCTTCCACAAGTGGCTAATTGTGAGCCTCATGTCAGATCCCCTGCTCAAGACAATGAAGGGTATTTTCCCCCTAAATGCTTGGGAAGTTTACTTTCTAATAAGCATCTTTCTGCTTCCTTGTTAATTTTCTTATAATCTTTGTAAACAAATTTTACCCCGTGTATATATATATGAGACTGATTTACGAATGCTGAAGTTCAAGATTTTTTAAAATTTATGACCACTGAATTTTGTATTTCAATTTCCCCCCTCTTACTGCATGCGGCAGGATGGTCATGTCTGCTTGCAAGTATAGCATTTAAAACTGAAATGATTGACCTTTTGTGGTTGAAGTCTGAACTTTATAGGGATACGAATATTCCTAGATGCTATTTATTAATCAAAAGAAAAAGTGTGGTAGTGCTTCTTTCTTTCCCTGCTTTTATGTTATATCCTGGATCTTTGGAGAGATAAGCTTGTGACCTATGATTTCTGTTTTGTTTTTCTCATATATAATCCTATTGGATATCTAAGATGTCGATGTAATAGTTGTTTTTAAACTTTGAGAACCTTGTCTTTTAGAAGACTTAGATTAGATCTAAATGCAGCTCCTATTGAACTGAGACAAGAACTTTGTTTCGATTTGATCCTTTTCTCTCATCAAAAGGTTGTCTTTTATTGCCTCTACTTTTCTTTTTCATGTTTTTTTACCCTTCTGTTTTGAAGCACCACATGTCAAGTTTTGCTTCTTCTGTATGGTATAAATATCAACAATTTCTCATATCTCTTAATTGAGTCTTACTCTTTGGAGCTTGGAAGTATCCTGAAAGGATTTGATGGAATCCTTTCTACTGTTCTATTTTCTTTCATTTTGATATTGACTATCTGGTTCATTTATTTTGCAGGTCTCAAGGTATGCTGTTATGTTTTGTTCCATTGGCTCAAAGTAGTTGGTTTGTTCTAGATCACTGAACATGTGGCATTGTTATTTAATGTATCAGCAGAACTTGAGTTAACATGTAGCCGCATATTTTGTATTTTTACCCCCTTCCTTTTTTTACTTACCTCCCCTGCTTGTCCTTTTACTGTGTCATCACTATTGTGTGATGGGCTACTGTCATCACATATTCATATATTCAGTCAATTGTTTATGCATATTGGATGGAAAAGACTGCAGCTGCCAGCCTATCCTTGCATATTCATCATATAGAAGTTTCTCTCATTTCAGGCAAAGCAGAACTGTCTGTATATAAAGTTGGGGAATGCATACAAGAATTGGTAACATTGTGGAAGGAATATGAATTATCTCAAACAGAAAAAAATGGTGAAAGTTCTAAAAAAGGCCCCACTCTTGAAATACGGATACCAGCAGAGCATGTCACTACTGCCAATCGCCAAGTATGATTAAAACTGATATGTACCATGTTGTAATATTGATCATTTTGTTTTGGGTTCTAATATGTATTTTAAAGTTGTTAAGATTTAAGCTTTTTCCATGTTGAGCTTAGATTATTTTGTTTAGGTCAGAGCTAGCCAGCTATGGGGCACTGATGTGTACACATATGACTCAGACCTTGTTGCTGGTATGTGCTGTTACTTATTACAAAGAGGACACAATTAGCTTTGCTTGAAAATGATCAAGGTGAAGTAATTGAGATTAGTATTTGATGTGGCAATTTTGTTGCACAGTTCTCATGCATACTGGTTACTGTCAACCATCAACTTCTCAGCCTCCCACAACCATACAAGAGTTATGTGCAACCATTCGGGTGCTTCCTCCACAAGAATGTAAATCACCGCCTTGATTTTTTTTTTTTTAAATAATCATAGAGATGCCATGTTGATTCTTTAAATGGTCGTCATTACATTTTAAGTTCTCTAGGCCTTGGTACTATTGAGAGCAATTCTTGTGGTTTAACATCATAGTTTGCATATATGATGCATATAACAAATATTTCAGTTGAACTTGTGGTTCTGATTCTGAACATTACCTGTGCATTGTGCGGCAACAGAAAATAAAAACGAGAGAGAGAAAATTTCGGAACTTTTAAATCTCAAATTCAAACTCGGAATTTGCTCGAGCAGCTCATACATTTAATTACATGCATGCTCACTAAGTCGATTGCATTCAATGCCTCCAAATATCACCCAAATAGAACTATTTATCATTACATGTCTGAACACACCTTTAGGTCAAGTTAAAACAACCAATATAAAAATTCTAATGACATAAATTACTTTTAAGAATATAATAATACCTATCAGAAGACATAACCGCTTATATATCTATTGGATCAAACATTTGGCATGATATTTTAGGGAAGGCAGTTAGCTATACAGAACTGAGAGCTACTCCTGTACAAAAAGGCAATGAGAGGCACTTTTTATGCAAGTCACTGTAATGGCCACCAAGCACCTACTTAGATGTTGGCTTGCAGACATGATTGATTAGAAGCCTTGAAATATTTATCTGTGATGTAGAGGGAAGTTAGTTGCGGTGATGTTGATTTCCCTTCCTCTCTCAGTTAATATTGCTATTTCTGTCAAACTTTTCAACATTTTGTAGATAATCTGAAGATTCTAAATTTATTTGATATTAGGTTATATTTCTACTCTGAGAAACAGTGTCCGTTCCCGTGTCTGGTGTGCAACAATTGGTTGCAGTTACCAAGTTGAAAGATGTTGCATTGTGAAGGTAGTAACAAGAACTCTGGAACGTATGTTGATTATCGCCCTGAATTTATATGATTTCTTTCATTATTCCCTTGGTTACTTTTGATGCACTTCATATAACTAAGTTTATTATGTTCCATTTTCAAGGCATGTCCTTTTGGTTCCTCATTTGTGGGAGATGGCTGAGTTGTTTTTATAGGCGTGCTCGTGTTACTATTTCCATAACATGTTAACTGCTACTCAAGATTTTCTTTGAAAAGAAGGGGTGTTAGTTCTGGAATGACTCTGCTTCTTCACATATGCGTACTAATATCTGTTTTTGCACACCTGTGCATGTCATTATATATTATCTAATTCTTGTTTACCATCTTTATTTCACTTTTATTTAGAAAGGAGGTGGAACTATAGATCTTGAGCCTTGCCTTGCACATACATCAAATGTTGAGTCCACCCTTGCTCCAGTGGCTGTTGAGAGGACGATAACTACCAGAGCTGCAGCCTCGGTTTGTCATTCATCTGATGATTAAACTCCTTGCTTTCAAAATCTAGCTAATATATCTGAAAAATTATATTTTATATCTTTTGGAGGACGTGTCCTCATAGTTTTATTGTTCTTATCTTTGATAAATTCATTTTCTATGAATTTCTTTGATTCTCCATAATTCATCAATTTTTCTATCTTTACTGAATACCTTCAAAGGCCGGATGGAAAACTGCAATCTTGGATGGAGGACGAGTTTTTTTTTTGGGGGGGGGGGGGTGATATTCTTAAAAAAAAAAAAAATCCTAGTTTTACAATTTCCTTTTTTCATGTTCTTCAGTAACTTGGTAAAGTAACCAACATGTTGACATTTTAATTTGTTATTGTACATGGTGACCTGCATTACAAGCAGAATGCGTTGCGGCAGCAAAGATTTGTACGAGAAGTCACAATCCTATACAATCTCTGCAATGAGCCTTGGTATATTAGCTTTAATTTACAGTTGTCTTGAGTTACAATATTTTCTTATTCTCCCTAAATTAGATACTAGATCTTTAAACCTTGTATTTTTGCAGCTTATCTTGACATTAGGTTTTTTTTTTTTTATTGTTGGCACATAATTCGTGTTCATGTCATGATAATAATATTTTTATCAGGACCAAGTACGGTATTAGCATTGTTGCGGACAAGGGTCTTAAAAAGCCACTCTTCACATCCGCTCGGTTGAAGAAAGGAGAGGTTTTATATTTGGAGACCCGTTCTTGCAGGTATTTTTTCGCACAGGAGTTTTGTAGGCTTCATTTAGATCCCTTCTTTTCCGGAATTTCCTTTTTTTTGGGGGAAAAAAAGTGCTTTGAACGTGGAACTGCGTTGCGTAATGTTCTTTAAAACCCTTGATAACAGAGTGACTGTTTTGTCTATTTGAAAATAAAGGGTCAGTTTCCATCATCATGTAGTCTGGGGTGTTGATGAATTCAGGATTCCTGTAGGACCTATATGACTAAGTTAATTACTCGCAGATATGAGCTATGTTTTACTGGAGAGAAGAAGAGGAAGTTGGTGCCACCAACTCAAATGCATGACCCAGATTTAGAAAAGTCTCAAAACCACTCACTTTCCGCAAAAAGTGGAAAATCTGATGGGAAAAATGTTGTGGTTGATATCTTTCGCTGGTCTCGCTGTAAGAAGCCTCTGCCCCAGGAAATGATGCTTACACTTGGCATACCTCTGCCCCTTGATTATGTGGAGGTAGTTTCAAATGCATTATTTTTTCACTAGCATATCAATAATATTTCTATATCTTCTATTATTTTTAATGTTTGGAAGCCGTTTGCACGATCTTTCGTTTCATTTCCTAAAAAATTCTGTATCATACGGTTTTATGGCAGAACTTATAGGTGCTGTTTCATTCTAACCCGAATCTTATCTATAATATATAGCGGATTTAATTTGGTTTCATTCTGAGCATGATAGCTTAGCATGTGCACTGTGTGATCAGGTACTGGAGGAAAATCTTGAATGGGAAGATGTGCAATGGTCTCAAACTGGTGTTTCGATTGCAGGGAATGAGTATCCCCTTGCAAGTGTGCACTTCTTGTCAACTGATTAGTTCTTTTATTTTATTTATTTATTTATCCTGAGGACGATAGATTTTTCCCTTTTTTTTTCTTTGGGGGGGGGTGGTTGGGGTTGCTTTGCTTCTTTCCACGCATGAGGAATTTTAATACTGCTTTAATATGGTAATATAGGATTTTAGTCTTTCATAGAATTAGCTTTGTTACTTTTTAATGGGTTATTTTTCCTTAAAGTTTTGCATTATTGTCATTCTTATACAGTGACCATGCTAATCTTTTCTCTATCGTTCCAGTTGTATTGGATGTCCTTGAAGGGAGGGAAGTTGTGCATTATTGTCACAACTATTTAGTCCGAAAATAAGTTAAAATGAGTTGCTTACAGCTTGTAAAAGTATTGGTGAGTTGAATTGACCATAGAAATTGGGGAAGCAATGCCTTTGCTAAATGGGAAAACAAAAGGAGGACGTCTGAGCATCAAAGTTTAATCAAGCTGGCCATGTTTTGAAGGTTGCAAAGTGCTGATAAAATTGTCTCAACTAAAATCAGTATGAAAACTTGAAAGATTGTTGCACTTGTTGATTCTCATAGTTTTACGAAGTTTTAAAATATCTTTGTTTTATGTTGTGTCAAGGATAATGATAATAATAACAATAATAATAATTTTTCCTTCTTTCTCATCCATTCAAATGAAACTATTCTTTCGGTTATAAATATAAGATTTTTATACTAGTATGTATAAAAGTTTTATATTTAGAGCCTGAGGAGTACAATCTAAAATTACCGTATCATAGGTGGTCCATCGACAATAAACAATGGATCCTTGTTGATTTTTCCCACCTTTTTAGCCTCTTTATATTATTGTTTGCAATTTTCCTACAATTTTACAAACATGGTAAATCATTATTACCGGCACTTAGTGTTTGCCTCTGTGATTAAAAAGAAGTAAAACAACTGTCAGTAACAACTAAAGTACCCTCGCAATCCATGATAATCACTTAAGTAGAGTCTCAGGCTCTCAATATGAACCGTAAGGGACATGTTTAGCGGTAAAATCATATTTCTCATTAAATTTTTTAATTTAAATACAATAATTATGTAATTTAAAGAAGAAGTCATATACTGATTTGTTCAAACTTTACATTCGTTTAAATTTTAATTTTTAACTAAGAAATCTAACAATGAAAAATAAAATAGATGCAACAAAGGATTTTTCCATAACGAAAACCCAATAATTATAAAATGAAGGGGTTAATTAAGATCAATGCTATACATCTTGAGAAGCTACATTGAGTTCCCTAAAATCAATCTTCCTACAATCTAACTAATCTGATCCAACAATTTTTTTTTTTTCAGGCCTGGGATAAAATCCCCAGCAAGGCCATTCTAACGTCAATCAAAGTTTTATACAGATCTTTCACTCTTTCCCCTATAATTTCAATCTCACCTCCAATCCCCTGCACTTTCTCTTCAATCCCTCAACTGCAGATTTCACCTCTCTTTCTCTCTTCCCCTTCATCATTTCCTCTAAATCCCTTACTGATCTTACTGTCTCTTTCAAATCTTTCATAATCAAGTTTGTTCCACACCTTCTTCTCTGCATCTTCTCGATTCCTTCTTCTTGATTCACCAATTCCTGCAGAATTCTCAACCAGGAAGGTGAACTTCTTGACCTCTGAGACTCTGTGATTGTAGGGATTCTGCGTTTTGAATCAAACGACAATCCAAGCTCGAGGAATTCACAAGCCATCAACGCCATAGCCTTGGAACCACACATGATCTCCCCGAGCTCTGATTCATCATGACCTAGCTTTCGCCTCAGGATTCTTCTCAGTCCATTTCGCTTGCTCACGACTTTGCATTTCTGCTCTATACCTCGAATTGATTCCAGATGCTCTGTTGCGCGCATTCTGGAGCTGAAGTTTCCATCGACGAAACGCAGGACTACTCTCAACGAATCCAGATACTTCTTGACGATCTCGATTTTGTCCGTGAAGTAATTACAGGCGTCTAGAATTTCAACGTTGGTCTCGAGGTAATGCTCGAGAGTTCCACGATCCGTATCGTCTCTGTAAGGAATATCCGCCAACATTCCCACGGCAATCTTCTGAGTGGCGATGGAAGCGTCGAGAAATCGAATCAATCCAGCTCCGCCTTGTTGCGGCGGGCGGAGTGCGTCCAGCTCGGCCCTGAGGTGTTCATCGAAGAGGCTTTTGTCTGGCAACGGAGCCACCGTGGAAGGCGGAGCTCGTGGCTGAATCATTCGCCGCAAGGAGAGGCTTCGGAGGAAGACGGAAGGTGCTCCCATTGCAGTTTCTGTTCGTAGATCAGTGCTGTTTGCTCTGAGTAACTCCGCTTTCGTGCGGGTATATATAGAAGCGAGGCCATGTGGGGTACGATGACACGTGGAGGATTTTCATTGGATGAGAAGTGCGGGGTGTCCTCAAGGGAGGGCTCAGGGTGGGGTCCATTTGTGGAAGGCTGTGCCCTAGGTGCCCTTTAACCGTGGGGCCCAATTTTATTGGAGATGGGGTTTTGGAAGCAAACGAATTATTGGTTTTTTTCCGGTTGGAGGAGAGTCAAATAATTGGGTGAGCTGTGAGCTGGAATTAGTCGACGTGTTTGAGGACTGTAGTGCCACGTAGTAAGAAAGTGGGACCCACAGGATTCATGCGAATCATTGAGGGATTGAGTGCCTAAATAGATTTTGGAGATATTTATCTTTCCAGTATAGTAAAACAAAGAGTAATAAGTTTTTTGGGTCATTCAACTTTTATTTTTTTTTTTTATGCATAAATATTTTTTTATTAAAAACAATTTTATTTGAGGTATTCTTGGATACTGAACATGGAAACCCCTCCTAGCTAAAATTCAAATCTTTTATTTGTAACTTTATCTTTTTGCAAATGTAAGAGTTCTATAATTAATTTAAAGAGATTAAAAAATTCAAATAAATTACCATCAATTTAAAATTATAGCTACATCCAACTCACAAGCACTGCTTATACTATGAATCGGACCAAATAATTAATTATAATAAATATTACATGAAATTTCTAAAACACTTCTATTTATTAAATTATAGATATTCAAATAAATTAATTTAAAAAATAATAATAAATACAAGAGAAATATGAATTAAAATATCATATTTATAATTAAATACAACTCTTAACTAAGTTCGATACAAAAGAGATGACTATATAAGGGGAAGTATTTACAAATCTACGCTGCCAAAATTAAAAAATAAAAACAAGGTCTTTACAAATGTACAAGAAGTCAGTCTTCTATTGCAGCAAACAAATGAATGGTGCGTTCTTCCTCAACTATTGACTCCTTCTGTACCTACTTATCCATTCTCCCATCTTACCTTGTCCCCTTAGTATCTTTCATTTGATCCACGTCAACTAATTTGACTAAACTTCATTTTTTGTAATTTTTTTTCTGGGAAAATCATTAAAAAAAAAAAAGGAGTTTCCAATGGAGAAAAAATCTCTATTTGCTAAAGTATCTTATTGTTACCAACTAAAATAACCTCCTTATAAAAAAGTTGAGATCAACGGAAAAGAACCACAGAACATGGGGTAGTGTAGAATGGTAGGCTCACAAGCAACCACTTTTTTTTTTTGAAAAAAAAATAAATAGAATTTTTGTTTTCTTCAAAAAAAAAAAAGTATCAAAGTTTGGGGGAATTTGGGAAAGGACAAGATGGACCCCATGCAGTGGCTGAAATGAAAGGATGCGACCTTGGGAATGAAAGAATGAGAATAAAACCAAAAAACAAATCAAGAGAGGACGTGGGAAGGGGTCCACGTGGCAAACACCCCAAATCCAACATTTGCTTACTATGTCTCTTGGTTCGCCACGTTCTCATTCTTCCCCACATTTTTTATTTCACCTATGCCAGCCTCGTCTCTCCCACGCCCCCATTATTATTACCAGTATTATTATAATATTATTTTACTCTTTTTGCCGAAAATTATTATTTTATATTTTTAAGGACAGATGTAGACCAATTCCCTATCGCAGGCTGCCAAACTTTATATTGTAATAATTTTATCCTCAAATACTACCATATTACTTCCCATCCTTAGTATAAATTTAGTTAATTAATTTGAAGATATTAATAAAATTATTAAATTATATAATTATATCATAGAATATATGATCTTTCTAAAATACTTATATGTATATTAAGTTATATATAAATTTATAAATGAGGCAAATTAGTTTGGTGAGAAAATATAAATATTTTAAAATAATTTAGTCACTTTTTTAATTTTTTTTAAATCAATCAATTAGGTCATATATTCTATTAAGAAATAGTTAATTAATTTATGAAGACTAATTCTTCATAATATGACAAACTATAATTTAAATCTTCATTAAAATATGTGTCTACATTTAGTATTCGACCCTGAATCTTAAATAGGATTACCTCTAATAGGAGGATATATGTGAGTAATTAAAAATAACTCATAATATGGCTAAGGTTAACCCATGGAAAAGCTTAAGAAATAAATTAATAAATATGATAGAAAAATAAACTACTATATTCAAGAATAAGAAGAAATAATGTTTATAAATTAGGATGAGTATTACTTTGTCATATACTTTTATAGTTCTGTGTATAGATCATTTTCAATATGTTTCATGCACATTTAAGAAAATCTTAAATTTTATTAATTTTTATTTAAAATTCAACAACTTTTTAACTTTAGTCTTGTTTCATATACATTATGACTTATGTAAATAAAGTCAATATAAGAATAAATGAAAGGTAAAATTGTACATCTATATAAAAAATTTCTTTCAGTATCCTATAAATAGAATAAAAATATTTTTTATGTCCTATAAATAGGATAAAAAAAAAATATCCTTTTCTATCTATCTCATAGATAGGACCAGAGTAACAGACAAACGTGGAAATCAAATATCCACAGACGATATCAACAGCGTGCATGTCCTGATGTTCCTGACCACAACTGCTTTTAGCATTACCATAGCGTCAGAGATCGCTGTCTTGATTTATGAAATACGAAACATCTAATATTTTTTATTTATTTTTTTTGCTTCTAAATATTTTATAAATTTCACATTCTGAAAATGTCTAGATGTTTCGGTTTTATATTATCATATTTTAATGACAAATTATTTATGCTGTTGGCAAAAAAAACAGGATAAATTATTTGTGCATTATATGATAATATATATTAATAGAAAGATTGCATGCATGCATGATTTCATAAAATAATGCAACAAAATAATTTATAAAACCATTAATATAGTATAAAAATATACAGCAATAGATGCCCTCCAAAAGA